TCTCTCACTCTCCCATCCCCTTTCGTCGCCCTCACTTCTCACGCTCTATTATTCTCTCTCCCTGTCTCGTTCTCCCTCCCCCTTTCTCTCATTCCTCCCTCTCTCTCTCTCCCTCCTCCTGTGACCTCCTATGTGCGGTTATGCTATACGGAAGTCTTCTTCTTTTTCTTCGCGCTCACCGGCTGTGAACTTGGAAAGTTCTGGTTGTTTTACCTCCGGACTTTAATCTTGCCACAAAACCCATTGGTTGCAGATTGGTTTTACAGATCTGGCTTATTTCTATGCAGGATGTTGGTCCGCCGTCTTATCCGACGCTTCATCAAACAAGTTAGTGCTCAGTCCCTGTTACAGAAGATTCTCCCTTGAACCCTTGGACATACTGCCTCGACTATATCCCTATACCTTTCCTTCAGTAAGATTTTCTACTGACCGAGCGGTATTCTTTGATGAATTTTTCAAATCATAAGATGAGGAATTCTCATTAGGCTTTGTAGATTGTTTCCCGAAGTGCTTATTTCTTTCAGAGACTTATTTTTTTTTTTTTTTAAATATTGCATTTTCCCCAGTTTGTCTTTATTTCCGCCGTAGAGTTTGCGTCTGCGGCTTAGTGGTTATGAACACATTTTTCATAATTCTGACATTGTATTTTCGATTCACCTGAAGGCGATTTAGCAACATGCCACTTTACGTTTACAAATATGAGCGTCGACTGTTCAAGGTTGGCAAGAGCTGAACTTGTGAAATGGCCAAGTATAAACCACAAGAGGCCGATTAAGAAATATATGGATTGAGGATGTAAAAGAGACACTATGGAAACCCAGTATGGCATTAACACAAGCTACTCAACTAGCAACAGACAGGATACTACATTTTTTAAACTCCTCTTTACAGGGCTTTACAGACGACATAAACAGTATCTATCTTCTTTTACCCCACCAGGACATCACACAAGCCACAAACACCCGATGCCACAAAGTGCCACCATGTGGATGAGGATCACCCGTGGAGAGGTCCTAGAAACTGCGTTCAGCCATTAGACCATATTTATGGCCCGGCTATATTGCGGCCCCTGGAAAGAGCCAGAGTAGGGCTTCAAAAAACGAAAAATTGCATCTCACAAAGAGATGACTGGATGAAAACATTACCCTTAGAAACCCTTCATAAACATTAGGACAGCAAAAGTAATAAACCGGAAACTTCACGCCAATGCTTTTGATTGGTTTACGTCATTCATTAAAGCAGCGGTTCTCCATCTATGGGTTGCGACCCTTTGACAGGGGTAGCCTGAGACCATCGGAAAACACACATTCTCTGAAAGTATAAAGTAGCAACGAAAATAATTTTATGGTTAGGGGTCGTCACAATACGAGGAACCGCTGCAATAAGGGATTCCTTATCATCCTATGCCTTTATATGTCACATGGGACTTGCCGTTTAGTCTTTTTTCCGCTCTGTCCCATGCAATCCTTTTAATATGGATGGAATCCAGGATGGTACCTTAAGCCTCTCTCTCTCTCTCTCTCTCTCTCTCTCTCTCTCTCCCTCTCTCTCTCTCTCTCTCTCTCTCTCTCTCTCTCTCTCTCTCTCTATCTATCTCCCCCCCCCCCACCTCACACACAGACAGAAGCTCTAGCATTAGTTTTTTTTCTTTTAGACACTTACGTCAACGGCTTCCCTTTGTATTCTCAGTAGCCCGTGTTTCAAAACGATTTTATAACTGACATTTATAACCTCTTTGTGATTTATTTACCGCCGCCTCCAAAGTGTGTATCCGCTTCCACATCATTACGGCTGTCAGTGTCTGACATAACTGTCCTCTCTCACTAGTACAGAGGTCTCCTTCCGTGAGATGCTGTTTTAACTGCTATCCTATCCGGCTATGTGATGCTGTTTGAACTCATTTATGTGTAACAGTTTTTAACTGTTTTATCTGGTTTATTTAGAACTCCCGGCAACTAGACAATTACACGATGTGTCGAGAGAGGTTCATTCACATTTCAGTGGCATTTATTCTTGTGTGTGTGTGTGTGTGTGTGTGTGGGGTGGGTGGGTGGGGGGCTTCAGTTTATGTTGATGTAAATTTTTAGTAACGTACATGAGGACTATCTCTCAGTCTCTTAAGAAAGAGAATAGGGGCTTTTGAGCTGAAATGTTATAGAAAGATTCTCAGAAAATCTTGGACAAAGCAAAGGAGAAATACTAACATCTTCAAAGATTTGAAAATTAAGGAATATTGGCTAATAAACAGCATCCAGTCTCGAAAGCTGAAATATTAGGTCATATCAAGCGCCACGACGGATTGAAAAAAATTATAGCAGAAGGCATGGTTCCAGGAAGGAGGGGCAGGGGCCGACTGACACGAAGATGGGCACAAGATATATGTGACTCCTTGAGTATGAAAGTACATAAGGCGGGAAAGCTGGCGAGAGACCGAGTTTCTTTCAGTCAGACTGGGTACATGATGATGACCCGACGAGCTGCAGCGAAATATGACTGGCAGTAAATTGTGCGTGTGTTTGCACTATTTAAATTAATCGCGGGACAATGTATTTATTTTACATTTGGTTTATTACCCCAAGTCTCGAGAGTGTGCGGCGGCCACTTTCACACCACCACGTCTGTCAACATCTGACATAACCGTTCCCTACACACATAGGATTCCTTTTGTGAGTTACTGTTTGAACTCTTCGCCCCAGCCGGTTTTATGTGATACTGGTTTAGCATGTCTCCTCTGGTTATGCGATGCTGTTTTAACTCTTTCTATCCCACCAGATGTTAAATGATGCTGTTTTAACTGTTTCGGTTATGCGGTTTGAGGCATTTCGGAGCCATTCAATTATATATGATATGATAATTTAACACAGACACACACACACACACACACACACACACACACACACACTGCACACACATTCTCAATGTCGATTACGCACACAGACACACACACACCACACAGTCAGTGTTGCCACATACTCTCTGTTTCTGACACACATACAAATACAGTTAGTGTTTGACGTACACACCCACCGACACACACACAGTGTCCGACCCCCTTTCCCCACACGAGCCCACCCCCTTGGCGCTGTTTAACTCGTTCTGCCTTATCCAGCTATATATTACAGTATCTTTGTCTAAAAACGACTGGGATGTCTGGTTGCCCCGAAACGTTTTTGCGATTCATAAAACCAACCGCCTCCGCTCTTATGTGGGGAGAAACAGGGCTCGCTCCAACGAAGTGACTGTATCTGCGTTGGTGCGTCTTTCTCATGTACGTTACCGTAGGCCTGAAGAAATGACCTAATTATCTCTACAGACAGAAGGAAGAGACAACCATTTGCTAATGACTGTGTGTGTGTGTGTGCTGGCGTCTGTTTTGCTGCGTCTAGAATGCAAACGGAGACTGCTATTTGTTGAAGTTTAAAAGATAAGCATGTTTAAATAAATTAGGGAATTGCCTGGACGAAATATCAGTGGCAGAATAATAAACAACCTGTGATGTGCTGAGCAAATAGCGTTGCTAGCTGAAAGTGAGAAAGACCTACAAGACCTGGTGGGGCAGTATAAGTGCTACGATAATACCGAGAGATGAACGAACTGGAATGCACACTCACGGCAAAAGACAGGACGCTTGTTCCATTACAGCAGACTTTCGTTGTGGAGACGACACCTGATTGATTTGATTGAAACGATAATATTGTTTTTTACCCCTGGCAAATTAAAGCCTGGTTTGTATGTTGGTAGGTTCATTATCTGTTTCAATTGCCTGTGTAGCAATCGTCTGTCTGTGACAGGCTCTGCAACCAAGGCATGCGCATTAGTTTACTTTTTACAGGGTATCCTTAAAGTCAGGAAACGGGAAAGGAAGAGTGAATGTGCTAAAAATGCCGGTATTGTGGATTTATTATATCATGTGAATTTTGCAAAATGCATCAATTTTTGCATGGCACATCGTATTAAAGAGGTTTAGTATTTCACTGTCCGGCAGTAGGTTATGGGATCCCATTGAGAGGAAAACAAGAATATGCCCACTGCCTTCCCAACAAGCATATCGTATAATTGGTGGCTTCCTTTAAAGTCAGATGCATTTGCATGAGAGGCAAGAAACTGACATTCTTCACGTTAAGTATTATCCATACCTTCTATTCATTCCACTGAATCAGTAGTGTCTGACACCGATGCTGCACTATCCACTTCACAACAGTCTACACCATAGCCACTTTGTCAAGTATCTCATTCCTAGAGAGCAGCAGCAGATAATTTACCGGCATTCTTATTGCCCCGACACACCTACATAACCTGGGTATAAAATCCATATTCTACTAACTTATCTAATCAAGCAAAAAAAAAGCCACTCTGAACGTAGCATACCGGTTTGTAATTCTTCTTCTTTTTGTGCGTCAATATCTGCTTAAGCCGATCAGACAATCGGCTGTCAAGCCAAGGAGCGCTCAGTCGCTTGATGTGCCGTGATATTATGCCGACTCAAGGTGTCAAAGACTTATTCAGTCCATATTCTTCTCGGTCTTCCCCTTCATCTAGATGTTTCAATTTTTAGGTTGTACACACTTGCTTCTGGCATCATTGGTTTCATTCTCATTATATGGTCAAACCATTTCATTCTTTGTTTCTCAATACATTTGACGATAGGTGTTGTTTCAAGAGCTCTTGTGATCACATCGTTTCTCACTCAGTCTCTTCTGGTTTTAATCACAGCCATTCTCAAACGTCTCATCTCACAGGTGGTTAGTTTTCTTTCGTGATTATTTGTCAATGTTCAAGTCTGACACTAGTAACCTACAGAAGGTATAAATATTTGTTTTATAATTTGTCTTTTTGTCTCTATTGGGATAGCAGGGTGTTTTAAAATTAGAGTAAGTTGGTACTTAACATTTTTGGCTTGTTGGATTCTTGTTTGTCTCTAATTTCTATCTAATTGTTTGGTGATAAATGATCAACTGAAACATTCATTTTTATTCATTACTTGTGTTTTTTTTTTTCAGCAGCCGTCCCAGCATTCAAGGAGTTTCACTTCCTTACGGAACCGTTGTCTACGGTGGCTGTAGATGGCAAGCCGGCACGGTTCGATTGTGTGGTGCAGTATAGTGGACCAGAGAAGCCACTCATCAGGTGGATCCGGCATGAGGATCAGAAGCGGCTGGAGGACACCAGCAGGAGGTGTGACTTGTCTGTGTTTTTTTCTGTAATTTATCAAGCTTAATGTTTAATTAAGAATCGACGCCATGGCACTCGGGACATTTCCATAAGGGCTCTGCCCCCATCTTCAGCAGCAAGGGCAGAGTTCCAGTTCCGATGGCACCAGTAACAGTCTGTACATCTGTCTCACTTTTCCTGTGAGTGTTGATCGTTGGCCAGATCCCCTGGTAACTACTCACAGCAACATTGTCCTCAAACAGTGATGACCCTTCTATGCCCGAGAGGCAAGAAACTGACATAATTCGCATTAAGTATGATCCAGACCTTGCATTCATCCCACTGAATCAGTAGTGTCTGACACTGATGCTGCACTATCCACTTTACATCAGTCTACATCATGTCCACCTTGTCAAGTATCAAGTTAACCAACCCCCCCCCCCCCCCCCCCCCCCCAAAAGCGTCCTTAAAGCTGTCATTCATCAGTTCACCACCGAGTTGTGCAGAACCAGCCAGTCTGAACCGGTTCATTTCCGAATATATTGTATAATTTTTTCAAGCTTTCAAGTCTGTAGATGTTTCAAATGTGAGTTATGTCAGGCTGAAAAAAAAAAAAACACCCAAAAAACCGAGAAGAGGGCAAAGAGGTAGGCCATTGCCTCAATGATAATTCATAACGAGGAACAGGACCATTGTCTCTATGGTGTATCTGTGTTGAGAAACATGATCATTGTCTTTAGGGTGTATCTGTGGTGGGAAACAGGATTTTTGTATCTGTGGTGAGAAACATGATCATTGTCTCTGGTGAACCTGTTCTAAGAAACATGATAATTGTCTCTAGGGTGTATCTGTGATGAGAAACATGATCATTGTCTCTATGGTGTATCTGTGGTGAGAAACATGATCATTGTCTCTGGTGTATCTGTGGTGGGAAACATGATCATTGTCTCTATGGTGTATCTGTGGCGGAGAAACATGATCATTGTCTCTGTGGTGTATCTGTGGCGGAGAAACATGATCATTGTCTCTGTGGTGTATCTGTGGTGGGAAACATGATCATTGTCTCTATGGTGTATCTGTGGTGGGAAACATGATCATTGTCTCTATGGTGTATCTGTGGCGGAGAAACATGATCATTGTCTCTGTGGTGTATCTGTGGCGGAGAAACATGATAATTGTCTCTAGGGTGTATCTGTGGTGGGAAACATGATCATTGTCTCTATGGTGTATCTCTGGTGAGAAACATGATCATTGTCACTGTGGGGCACCTGTGCTGAGAAACATGATAATTGTCTCTAGGGTGTATCTGTGGCGGAGAAACATGATCATTGTCTCTACGGTGTATCTGTGGCGGAGAAACATGATCATTGTCTCTGTGGTGTATCTGTGGTGGGAAACATGATCATTGTCTCTATGGTGTATCTCTGGTGAGAAACATGATCATTGTCGCTGTGGGGAACCTGTGCTGAGAAACTTGATAATTGTCTCTAGGGTGTATCTGTGGTGGGAAACATGATCATTGTCTCTATGGTGTATCTCTGGTGAGAAACATGATCATTGTCTCTGTGGTGTATCTTTGGTGAGAAACATAATAATTGTCTTTATGGTGTATCTGTGGTGAGAAACATGATAATTGTCTCTATGGTGTATCTGTGGTGAGAAACATAATCATTGTCTTTATGGTGTATCTGTGGTGAGAAACAGGATCATTGTCTCTATGGTGTATCTTTGGTGAGAAACTATTATTGTATCTGTGGTAAGAAACATGATCATTGTCTCTGTGGTGAACCTGTGCTGAGAAACATAATAATTGTCTCTGTGGTGTATCTGTGGTGGGAAACATGATCATTGTCTCTATGGTGTATCTCTGGTGAGAAACATGATCATAGTCTCTGTGGTGAACCTGTGCTGAGAAACATGACAATTGTCTCCATGGTGTATTTATATTGAGAAATGTGATCACTGTCTCTATGGTGTATCTGTGGCGGAGAAACATGATCATTGTCTCTGTGGTGTATCTGTGGCGGAGAAACATGATCATTGTCTCTGTGGTGTATCTGTGGTGGGAAACATGATCATTGTCTCTATGATGTATCTCTGGTGAGAAACATGATCATTGTCACTGTGGGGCACCTGTGCTGAGAAACATGATAATTGTCTCTAGGGTGTATCTGTGGCGGAGAAACATGATCATTGTCTCTATGGTGTATCTGTGGCGGAGAAACATGATCATTGTCTCTGTGGTGTATCTGTGGTGGGAAACATGATCATTGTCTCTATGGTGTATCTCTGGTGAGAAACATGATCATTGTCGCTGTGGGGAACCTGTGCTGAGAAACATGATCATTGTCTCTGTGGTGTATCTGTGGTGGGAAACATGATCATTGTCTCTATGGTGTATCTCTGGTGAGAAACATGATCATTGTCGCTGTGGGGAACCTGTGCTGAGAAACATGATAATTGTCTCTAGGGTGTATCTGTGGTGAGAAACATAATCATTGTCTTTATGGTGTATCTCTGGTGAGAAACATGATCATTGTCTCTGTGGTGTATCTTTGGTGAGAAACATAATAATTGTCTTTATGGTGTATCTGTGGTGAGAAACATGATAATTGTCTCTATGGTGTATCTGTGGTGAGAAACATAATCATTGTCTTTATGGTGTATCTGTGGTGAGAAACAGGATCATTGTCTCTATGGTGTATCTTTGGTGAGAAACTATTATTGTATCTGTGGTAAGAAACATGATCATTGTCTCTGTGGTGAACCTGTGCTGAGAAACATAATAATTGTCTCTGTGGTGTATCTGTGGTGGGAAACATGATCATTGTCTCTATGGTGTATCTCTGGTGAGAAAAACATGATCATAGTCTCTGTGGTGAACCTGTGCTGAGAAAAACATGACAATTGTCTCCATGGTGTATTTATATTGAGAAATGTGATCACTGTCTCTATGGTGTATCTGTGGCGGAGAAACATGATCATTGTCTCTGTGGTGTATCTGTGGCGGAGAAACATGATCATTGTCTCTGTGGTGTATCTGTGGTGGGAAACATGATCATTGTCTCTATGATGTATCTCTGGTGAGAAACATGATCATTGTCACTGTGGGGCACCTGTGCTGAGAAACATGATAATTGTCTCTAGGGTGTATCTGTGGCGGAGAAACATGATCATTGTCTCTATGGTGTATCTGTGGCGGAGAAACATGATCATTGTCTCTGTGGTGTATCTGTGGTGGGAAACATGATCATTGTCTCTATGGTGTATCTCTGGTGAGAAACATGATCATTGTCGCTGTGGGGAACCTGTGCTGAGAAACATGATCATTGTCTCTGTGGTGTATCTGTGGTGGGAAACATGATCATTGTCTCTATGGTGTATCTCTGGTGAGAAACATGATCATTGTCGCTGTGGGGAACCTGTGCTGAGAAACATGATAATTGTCTCTAGGGTGTATCTGTGGTGAGAAACATAATCATTGTCTTTATGGTGTATCTGTGGTGAGAAACAGGATCATTGTCTCTATGGTGTATCTTTGGTGAGAAACTATTATTGTATCTGTGGTAAGAAACATGATCATTGTCTCTGTGGTGAACCTGTGCTGAGAAACATGATAATTGTCTATGTGGTGTATCTGTGGTGGGAAACATGATCATTGTCTCTATGGTGTATCTCTGGTGAGAAACATGATCATAGTCTCTGTGGTGAACCTGTGCTGAGAAACATGACAATTGTCTCCATGGTGTATTTATGTTGAGAAATGTGATCACTGTCTCTTGTGTATGTGTGTAAGAAACATGATCATTATCTCTATGGTGTATCTGTGGTAAGAAACATGATATTTGTCTCTATGGTGTATCTGTGGTGAGAAACATGATCATTTCTCTAGGGTGTATCTGTGCTGAGAAACATGATCATTGTCTCTTGTGTATCTGTGGAAGAGAAACATGATCATTGTCTCTGTGGTGTATCTGTGCTGAGAAACATGATCATTGTCTCTGTGGTGTATCTGTGGGGGAGAAACATGATCATTGTCTCTGTGGTGTATCTGTGGAGGAGAAACATGATCATTGTCTCTGGTGTATCTGTGGGGGAGAAACATGATAATTGTCTCTATGGTGTATCTGTGGGAGAAACGTGATCAATGTCACTGTGGTGTATCTGTGGGGGAGAAACATGATCATTGTCTCTATGGTGTATCTCTGGTGAGAAACATGATCATTGTCTCTATGGTGTATCTGTGGTGAGAAACATGATCATTGTCTCTATGGTGTATCTGTGGTGAGAAACATGATCATCGTCTCTATGGTGTATCTGTGGTGAGAAACATGATCATTTCTCTATGGTGTATCTGTGGTTGGAAACATGATCATTGTCTCTATGGTGTATCTGTGGGGGAGAAAAATGATCAATGTCACTGTGGTGTATGTGTGGGGGAGAAACATGATCATTGTCTCTATGGTGTATCTGTGGTGAGAAACATGATCATTTCTCTATGGTGTATCTGTGGGGGAGAAACATGATCATTGTCTCTGTGGTGAGAAACATGATCATTGTCTCTGTGGTGTATCTGTGGTGAGAAACATGATCATTGTCTCTATGGTGTATCTGTGGTGAGAAGCATGATCATTGTCTCTATGGTGTATCTGTGGTGAGAAACATGATCATTTCTCTATGGTGTATCTGTGGGGGAAAAACATGATCATTGTCTCTGTGGTGTATCTGTGGTGAGAAGCATGATCATTGTCTTTATTGTGTATTTGTGGCAAGAAACATGATCATTGTGTCTATGATGTATCTGATGTGTGTCTAAAGTGAGAAAAAGAACCGTGGTTCCTATAGTGTATTTGTGATGTATCCATGGTGAGAAATATATTCATTGTCTCTGTTGTGTATCCAACCTAGTCTGTAGTGAGAAATAGGTCGATTGTTCCTGTAATATATCTGATGAATCCATCTTGTGTCTGTGGTGAGAAATAGGACCATTGTTCCTGTGATGTATTCATGACAAGAAATATGACTATTGTATCCATGGCAAGAAACATGACTTTTGTATCCGTGGCTTACAGCAAAATGGTTGACATGTTTGCCCTATCTTTGGAAGGCATAGGTTAATTTTTTGGCTCCATGTAAGAACAGATGTTTTAAATACCTATGAGGCCTGTCACTTCATCAACAGAGTCTTATGGTATCTCTCAGCAGGTGAACAACAGCCATACTGGGAGAGACTAAGCCATATGGGATAATACCTTATGTAGTGGAGTCAATCCTCTTACCTAAAAACCGACCCTTGTAAACATGTACAGCAACCACAACAAAGTACTAATGTTTTCTCTTTGTCCAGGCATATGCTGTCCAATGGATCCCTGCATTTTTCATCAGTTGTCAGCTCAGCATCAGGCGAGTCTGACGAGGGGCACTACCAGTGTACAGCCACCGTTAGTGGAATCGGTACTATTGTAAGCCGCAGGGCTCAACTCAAAATTGCACGTAAGTACACTCCACTTCAGAAAATGTCTCCTTAGCACATACTACTTCACAAAATTTCACATAAGCAGGTGTTTTTGTGATACCTGTTCTGTGAGCAAACTTTAGATGTGTGGGGAAAATGTCCTACTTTCCATGTTATGACTTAAAATATATTATTATTTTGAAATGTTCTTGTTGTATATTATACTCCTGATGTTCTGCTTCTACGCCACTTTATTTTTTTACATGTTTGTTTCTTAATGTTACATTGCATGTTCTTGGTGTTATTTTTTCTGTTCTGATACATTAAGTTCAAAATTGATTGTTTTTTATTTTTATTATTGAAGCTCAGTATTTTATGTTTATGATGTTTTATTTACTTGTTTCTTTAAATCTGTTGATTTTTCACTTCCATTTCTGATGTAATCTATTGAAACCTCTGTTAGAGCTACTTGCCTGCGGATCCAAAGGTCTTGGGTTCAGGTCTTGGCCAAGTTGAACTTAAAAAAAAATTTGATCTTAGCTCCCAGATCTTCCCAGCCTTAAATGGGTACCAGGAAGAACCATGGGAAGTAATGGCGGCCGGCTTGGTGTTGACCACATCACCCACTGAGTGCCGATTGGTCTCTATCCCCTGACAGTGTGGAAAAGGCTCCCCTTTGCTTTATTTGCTTCGCTGGTTAGAGCTGCATCCTTTGATGTCTGTTAATAGAGACTAAATCCATAAAATTATGCCCATAGTGCATTGATGTCAGTCTTCCCAGGAGTAAACAAAAGAGTTCATTCTTGGCTTGTCTGCCTGTCATGATGCAGCCTGTCTGGCATCTTCTGGCTTGTTTCCTGTCACATGACTTGTTAGGTTTGATCAATGTTTCAGGATTTTGTGTCCCCCCATGTGAGAATACCAATAACTTCCATGTTTTTGTCTTGTGAAATGTCATAGCTTCCTTGTTGTTGTCCTGTAAGGTGCCCATAGAGACATAACTTGTTGTCTATGTCATTTAATCTGCCAAACTGATAGCTTTGACATACAACACACGATCTCCCTGTGTGGGTTCCGTGGCCTGATTACCCCCCCCCCCCCAAAAAAAAAGTAAAGTTTTATTCACAGCCATTCTCAAAGATCTCACAGGTGGTTAGTTTTCTTTCATGTTTTTGTGTGTGTTAATGTTCAAGTCTGACACTATTATATAATAAAGTTTAGGGTGGATTAGCTTCAAGATGTGATGTCCAACTCTGTCTCCTGTAGACTGAGTACAATTGTTTAGACTATTATATAATAATGTTTAGGGTGGATTAGCTTCAAGATGTGATGTCCAGCTCTGTCTCCAGTAGACTGAGTACAATTGTTTAGACTATTATATAATAATGTTTAGGGTGGATTAGCTTCAAGATGTGATGTCCAACTCTGTCTCCTTTAGACTGAGTACAGTTGTTTAGACTATTATATAATAATGTTTAGGCTGGATTAGCTTCAAGATGTGATGTCCAGCTCTGTCTCCAGTAGACTGAGTACAATTGTTAATTCTTATGGTTTATGGCTTATACAACGGATCAACGTCATGGCTTTCTCACATAAGGGAAAAACTGGGAGGGTCTGTGTGCATGTTGTACAAATATACACTGAGTTATTTTTAAAGTACAATTAGTTCATTCTGAGAAATATTTTGCGATCTTTCCACAGATCTGCCGAAACATTTTGAAGCAGAACCAGGAGACTTACACCTGGCTCCAGGTGACACAGCTGCCTTTGAATGTTTGATTCATGGAGAGCCCAAGCCTACAATCACATGGTTTAAGGGCACTCAGAAACTGGTGCCAGGGCCTCATATGAAGGTTTACCCAACAGGTACAGAAATATATATAAACATTTGGGCAACTTATGATATAAGTTCCTGTTGTCAGATGTAAATTTGGGCAACTAATGATATAGTTTTTTTTTATAGTCATATATAAACATTTGGACAGCTGATGATTTAGGTTTTTATAGTCAGATGTAAACAATTGGACAACTGATGATATAGATTCTTGAAGTCAGATGTAAATATTTGGATAACTGATGATATAGGTTCTTATAGTAAGATGTAAGCATTTGGACAACTGTTGATATAGGTTTTTATAGTAAGACGTAGACATTTGGACCACTGATGATTTAGGTTCATATAGTCTGATGTAAACATTTGGACAACTGATGATATAGATTCTTGTAGTAGTAAACATTTGGACAACTGATGATAAAGATTCTTGTAGTAGTAAACATTTGGACAACTGATGATATAGATTCTTGTAGTAGTAAACATTTGGACAACTGATGATATAGATTCTTGTAGTAGTAAACATTTGGACAACTGATGATAAAGATTCTTGTAGTAGTAAACATTTGGACAACTGATGATATAGATTCTTGTAGTAGTAAACATTTGGACAACTGATGATATAGATTTTTGTAGTAGTAAACATTTGGACAACCGATGATATAGATTCTTTGGACACTACCTTACATAGGCTGTTATAGTCAGATTTGGTTACAGCACACGACAGTCCCAGGCAGCAGAAAGAAACATCTTATACAAAATATATTCATCCCTACCCTTCACTACCATTGCCAGACATAGCCACTCCCAACAAGTCATAAAAGACAATCAGTAATGATAGAATTGATGACTGAAAAAGGCTACAGTAATGACCAGAAGAGATAACATCAGGAATGAAGTCATAAGATACAAATCTGCATGGGACCATTTCTAGAGAACATAGAAAGAGTGAAAATTAAATAGTTCGCCCACTTAGGGAGAAAGTCTTAATAATTCTGTACAAAAGAGGAGAGGGATGTAGAGCAAAGATAACATTAGAGAAACTCTGTGACATCACAAGATGTCTGTGGTCAAGGTGGCCAGAGAACATAGAGCAAGAACCAAAACAAAATGTCTTCTTTAACACCAGAAGCTGTCCAGCAAAAGCAGTGACCTTGATAGAGACATATTTTCCCAGGCATGCTTTCAAACTGATTTCATGAACGTGCTTAAGAATATTGAGCCAGGATGGATTCAGAGACAGTGGTTGGAGTCTCCGAGAAAATCTCTTCTGACAGGGAATGAACAAGCATTTGGCTTGCTGGCAGGGCTATGGTTGGGACAGGAAAAGCCATGGACCCGGTTGATATTCTCAGTGCTGTCAAGGAAATAGCACACATAGATTGTTCAACAGGCGGCAGTTATTCGACAACCTTGACAAGACTACAAGAGCTTCATGTCAAAAGAGGTGTTGCCAGGCATGAACACTATACAAGTAGTCATAGAAGAATAAGAAACCAAAATTGAACTGGTGTTAGTCGCCAGAGAGATTAGTGATTAGTCAAGGGAGATACTAGAGATGGGGTCCAAGCACTTATAGACATGTTTAATTTGCTATGAGAAAGATGGTCGAATAACTAACTTACTAAACCAGATCTATAAAAGGAATGTGCACACAACACTCACATTAAGGGGGGAGGGGGGGGGGGGGGGGGGGGGTTAGTAGTTATGTGTGTATTGGTGATGGGGAGTGTGTAGAGTTTGTATATGCATGTGGGTGTCATTATATATATGCCTGATAATAAGGATGGATTCCTAGGGAAATCACCAACTTATTTCATTGTAGCAGAATTGTTTCTGGTCTCCTGGGCATTACTGAAAACACAGTCATTTGATTTTCATGATCATGAGTCTCACAAGGGAAAATAATTTTATTATGAAACAGGTCTTCTGGAAATTGGCCCTCTATCTTCATCCGATTATGGCACTTACGCTTGCGAAGCTGAAGTTCCTGGCAAGTCTAGAAAGAGCAGAATGGCAACACTAGCACTGGCATCAGCTAATGGTAGGTATACTTTGTCATGTATGTTTGCCATTTGATATAACTTATTGTGACTGAAGGAAATCATTGTATGATATAGAAAATACCAAAATAATGCAGTGGAACCTCAATATGTGCATTTGATCTGTTCCATGACTGAGCTGGTGTGGTGAATAAACCATATCTTGAAACTATTTTTCGTATTAAAATTAATGTAAATAATTTTTATGTGTTAAACTGAAATTCTCCAGGTGTGTACTTAGAATACATAAACCAAAAAGAAGAGAAAAACACAGACAACCTTTCAGGTCTAAACATGAAAGAGAATTGGCTCATAAACAACTCCCTGTTGTGGAAGCTGAGGTATTTGATTATGTCAGATGTCATGGCACCCTGGAGGGTACAATTTTAGAGAAGTAAGGCAGAGATGGACCTTTGCAAAGGTGGGTTTAAGACACTGAAGATTCATTGGCCATGAATGCACATCATCATCATCATCATCATCAGGTGCCTTGCCGACTGGCGTGGGCGATCATGCCTCTCCATAATCTGCGATCTCCTGCATCATGTATCAGTTCGGGTGCCGACACACCTCCATGCCATGCAACAAGACTGTCAAGCATCTTCTTTCGTTGTCTTCCTCTATCCCTTTTTCCACAGATCTTTCCAGTGGTCACAACATGTTCTATTTTCCCTCTTCTCATAACATGGCCGAAAAATGATGACTGTCTCCTTCTGTTGTCTGTGATAAGTTGTCTTTGAGCTCCCGCCTCTTTCAAAACCTCTTGGTTGCTCTTTTTGGCTGCCCAAGGTATTCTAAGCATTCTTCTGTAAAACCACATCTCTGAGGCCTCTAAAAATTGTTTGGCCTGCCTACCGATTGTCCAGGATTCACATCCATATGTTAAAATTGGATGTATGTAGCAAGCAAGAATTCTTTTTCTAACTCTCAATGACAAGGATATATTGCACAAGATGTTTTTTATTTTATAAAATGCAGTTTTTGCCTGTCCAATTCTGTTTCTTATTTCATCTTCCATCTGATGTTATCCATGTGCCCAGATACTTAAATTTCTGTACTTGTTCTAAAATAACACCATTGACTTTTATTACACATTTAGGAATAATTTGTTTCTTTGATACCACCATTACTTCTGTCTTCCCATTATTCAAACTGAGGCCCATTCTTCCACTTTCTAACACCACAATGTCTATCATTTCCTGTAATTCTTTCTGACTTGTTGCTATCAAGACTGTGTCATCAGCATAACGTAAATTGTTTATATTGTGCCCACCAACCACAATTCCAGGCATATCAATTAAAGATCTCATTATATATTCACTGTATATTGAAAACAAATCAGGTGACAGTACACATCCTTGTCGTACGCCCCTCTTTATGCTTTGGAATGTACCTAAACAGTTGTTTATTCTTATAGCTGCTGTTTGCTGCCAATACATATTCTTTATTATTCGTAGATCTTTCCCATCAATGTTTAATTTTTCTAACAGTTTGATTACTTCTTCATGCTTCACACAGTCAAATGCTTTTGTATAGTCTATGAAGCATAAGTACAAATCAATCTTTTCTTCTATAGCTCTTTCTGACAATGTCCTTAGGATGTAAATGGCATTGTTTGTACCTTTTCCTTCTACAAATCCACATTGTTCATCGCTGATTTCTTGTTTAATTTTGTTTCTTATTCTTCTCATAAATATTCTCAGTAAAATCTTAGTCATGTTACGCATAAGACTTATTGTGCGATGGTCTTCACATTTTAAAGTGCCTGGTTTCTTTGGCAGAGCTATAAATGTGAATTTTAAAAGGTCATTTGGAATATACCCACTATTATAAATATCATTTAAAAGTTTAGTTATTATTTCCATTCCAAAATCTCCCAGTGCTTCGATTTCTTCCAGTGAGATGTTGTCTGGCCCGGGTGCTTTTCCTTTCTTCATATGATGTATTGCATCCTCAACTTCTGCAGTCATTTTTGGTGGACCATCATTGTTGGTCTGCAGTTCTATATCTGGTCTATTATCATCATACAATTCCCCTATATACTCTGTCCATCTGTTAATTATATTACTATGTCCCATTAATAAGTCATCATAGGGCTGGAGAATCGGCTAGAGAAAGAGACTTTCAGACGTACCTTGATGAGAGTGAGCCTGCTGGTTTATGATGCCAATTAATGAGATCAGGCTTGTGTTCTTGTTCTGATGTACTACTATGTGGCCAGGCATCACTGTATTTCTGTGGGCCAGCAATCTGAAATCACTGGCCAGTTTGGTTTAGGCCATTGTTTACCATTCATTTATGGTGTACAACTAGCATGTAGGACAGAAATGATACAGGAAGTTTTTTTTAAAATAACAACCAACACCTGAGAAGTACATTTTCCTACAACAGCTCTGACTTTATGTCTTGAATCTGACGGGAATGGACAGAAAGTATTCATTTTATCCATTTATACAACAGCTCTAACTTTTCTTTATGCCTTTACTAGAATCTCCGCACCGTTCTAGGGGAATGGACAGAAAGTATTCAGTGACTTGAAGTTTTTCAATCTTTTAGGGCAGACTGATCCATGTTCAGGTGCTGTTCACATGGAAACCTCTACCTTTTGGTCTTTAGAGTTTTCATTTAAATATCTGCTACTACCACCGACAACAGCACTGGGAGTGGCTCCCTCTGGGATAATTCCCAGTCTTCTTGCTCACCCTGATGGGCTCACTCATCTGAGCCTTTTCCTTTTGAGTGACTGATTGCTGAGATTGTCTAATATTAGTCCAGGCTCTAACACCATCAGTTTTTGGGACTGGTCATTTCGGCAGTTGAGATAATGCACACTCCTTAGTGGGTTCTGACTTCGCTGGTCGCTGTTCGGTGCCAGAACAAAACATATTTTTAGACTGTCACAGCAGGATAATCAGCAATACATGTGTGTTTCTTTAACACTATCGCGGATTATGGAGAGGCATGATCGCCTACGCCAGTCGGCAAGGCACCTGATGATGATGATGATTCTTTAACACTGCACATAAATTTTTGGCTTGTAGAGCTTATGTATAAAAGTTTTTTTTTAAAAAGTCAAGGACCCATTTTATTTAGGCATATTGGGTATATAGTGCGAGACCTATATTTTATAGACCAATCAGCACTTGGTAGGTGATATAGTCAACATTGTGCCAGGAACCTTTTTTTTTCCTGGAACTTTACCTGGTACGCATTTAAGGCTGGGTTGACCTGAGAGCCAAAGTCATTTTTGGAAAGAAAACAAAAAGTCCAACATAGTTCAGATTTGAATCCATGACCTTCTGAACCGCAGCAAGGGTGTGGCTGCTACACTACGGTGGCTCCCACTGTTATACATGTGCAAGAAATAAACTATATAGCTATTGACTTGTGATGATTTCAGATGCCAGACTGCGAGGCCATCCCAAGTTTATCATCATGCCACACAGTGAGAGGGTTGTGAAAGGGGAGACAGTTTTCTTGCACTGTGTAGCTTATGGGAGGGATGGAGATGGGAGACCGCCAATCATCTCATGGTTAAAGGATGGGAGCACAATTGTCACTGGGTGAGCTAGGAAATATTTTCCCTCTATTCGCTTTCTTTCTTTCTTTCTTTCTTTCTTTCTTTCTTTCTTTCTTTCTTTCTTTCTTTCTTTCTTTCTTTCTTTCTTTCTTTCTTTCTTTCTTTCTTCTCTTCTTTCTTTCTCTTTTCTTTCTTTCTTTCTTTTCTTTCTTTCTTTCTTTCTTTCTTTTTCTTTTTTCTTTCTTTTCTTTCTTTCTTTCTTTCTTTCTTTCTTTTTCTTTCTTTCTTTCTTTCTTTCTTTCTTTCTTTCTTTCTTTCTTTCTTTTTCTTTCTTTCTTTCTTTCTTTTCTTTTTTCTTTCTTTCTTTCTTTCTTTCTTTCTTTCTTTCTTTTTCTTTCTTTCTTCTTTCTTTTCTTTCTTTCTTTCTTTCTCTTTCTTTCTTTCTTTCTTTCTTTCTTTCTTTCTTATCTCTTCATGTATTGCATCTCTACCACCTTCTCAGCCACATAAACATTTCAGGTTGGCCAGTTTGAAAATGTTTCTCAAATTGTGGAAAAATGTTAGCACATCTGGCATATTCATAGATACTCTATCTGTCACAGCAAATGTTTTAAGGTGTAGATAAGATTGTATCAGTAGCAGACTGAGTGTATACACATATTCTTTTTTTTCATATGCCTTTTTTCTTCAGGATATACACCAGCACACAGCCTAAAACATGTTATTTTATTTAAGATTATGTCTTCAGTCAGAATTCTGTCATATGTAGCCCCTACAATGTTCGTTTCACCAGTTATGATCCTACAGTTGGTGTTTTTTCCTGCCAAAGAATGTGGCACTTCATTGCCTCACACTTCCGCATGAACAGCCTTTAAGAACATTCATATTCAATCTGTCACTTTTGTCTTTGACACACATTTGTTACAGTACTTCAGCCTTCATTAGTTGATACATTTCTACTGATACACATTTGTTACATTACGTTGCCTTCATTAGTTGATACATTTCTACTGATACACATTTGTTACATTACGTTGCCTTCATTAGTTGATACATTTCTACTGATACACATTTGTTACAGTACGTTGCCTTCATTAGTTGATACATTTCTACTGATACACATTTGTTACATTACGTTGCCTTCATTAGTTGATACATTTCTACTGATACACATTTGTTACATTACGTTGCCTTCATTAGTTGATACATTTCTACTGATACACATTTGTTACATTACGTTGCCTTCATTAGTTGATACATTTCTACTGATACACATTTGTTACATTACGTTGCCTTCATTAGTTGATACATTTCTACTGATACACATTTGTTACAGTACTTCAGCCTTCATTAGTTGATACATTTCTACTGATACACATTTGTTACAGTACTTCAGCCTTCATTAGTTGATACATTTCTACTGATACACATCCTTCAAATAAAAAAAAAAAAAAAACGGAATCACTGCTCTTTGAGCTTCTTTAGATGGATTTTGGTCATTTCCCCAATGATTAGAAAAAACATTTATGCATAATGAAACAATTCATTGGTCGGTACCTATCACATGACTATGATATGATCATTTTCAACGCACACAGTTATGCACGATACAGCACAAATGGGTTTCAAATGAATGCTCCTTATAGGTTGGTTAGAGCTGATAACATGAAATCCTAGAATACCTCTTTTAACTCTTTACATTAAATAATGTATGGAGTTATGGGAGTTGTTAACCGAAAAACACTTGGAGACATACACAGGCGATCGGAGCAATTATGGTCATGTGCGATGAAAATGATTTTTAAGTAAACAGTGAACATTATGTAGAGATTTAAATTTGTGTATGAATTGTGTCTTAGATTTGTGCAAATGATGAATAGAGAAAGCTGCTGTAGGCGTCAAATTGTGTCAGAAGGCTATTCCTTTTGATGTGTGTGTTAAACTGGTTATGTACACACCTTTTACTGTTGTATGGGCTCACACTTATTTAATTGTACTGTAGTGACTGATGTCACCTCTTCTAACGTGCCACTTCTTAATGAGTAAATAATTCACAGGCAGGTCTCTTGTTTCAGTTTCTTTCCTCCTTTACTTAATTAACTGTCCTTGACTGAAAAGTTACTATATTTGAAACCTTGTATAAAAACTTTTCTTGACTGATAACTTACTGTATTAGAAACCTTGTATAAAAACTTTTCTTGACTGATATCTTACTGTATTAGAAACCTTGTATAAAAACTTTTCTTGACTGATAACTTACTGTATTAGAAACCTTGTATAAAAACTTTTCTTGACTGATAACTTACTGTATTAGAAACCTTGTATAAAAACTTTTCTTGACTGATATCTTACTGTATTAGAAACCTTGTATAAAAAATGCTCTTTCATCACTTGCCAGAATGATAGACTTGGGAGTTAAGGTCGACATAGCAAAAAAATTATACACACACTAGACATATTAGAGGATTTGTAAATCAACATAAGAATGGTACTATTAGCCGCCAGATGCTGGGGTTTATACTGAGGGGAGGATGTGAGCACCTGTGGACATGTTAGGAGTGTCATGGTGATAACCCAACTAAATGCTCTTTTTGTGTTCATTGTTATAAATGCTTGTTCTGCAATAATTGGATTTAATGGAATGTTAAATGTTCTTAATTATGTTAGAGAAATGTTTGGTGAAAACATCATTTTGACTATAATTTGTCGTTGCCAGGAAGAATAGCTCACGTATCCAGGTGATTGGGTCAGGGACACTGTTAATCTCAGATGTACTTGAGAGTGATGCAGGTGTCTACACATGCCGAGCTGTCAACCTGGAGGATTCAGTAGATGCAGATGCAGCACTGACAGTTCTGGGTGAGTTTTGTGTCAATTGGAACTGAATATGTTATGAGATGACTTGATGCTCAACATATGATAATGTAATTTAAATTAAAGTTCCGTATGTGGTTACCGGTGCCCCATTTGGGAAACAAAAAATAGACCCACTGCTCCCAACAAGCATGTCCTAAGTGTTGAGTAATAAGGGCAATTTTCTTCTAAGTCAGAGTGCATCTAACTGAGAGATGAGGAACCAACAGTTTGTATACATGTAAGCAAGATCTGTCAAATGGATGTGCATACAAAACACAAATTCCTAAACAAGACCAAAGTCCAGAAGTGGATGAACATCCATAACTTTCTGCTGAAGATTACAGCTGAGAAGAAGTTGATCTATGTATATTGTAAAAAGGTAACAAAAAAGGGTCTCCTTTGCTAGCAGATGACAAGTAAGATGGGGTGGTCAGTTCACTTCCTCATAGCATTTCCTTCTCAGATAAGTCCTAGAAAGTTCCGAAACTTGTCTGATTTCCATTTTTATTATGGTTGGATCCACCCCAGTGTTCGGAACCTATGTCTAAGAATATGCTGTCATAACATATCATACATCTAATTAACACAACAGTCCTCACAATTATATACACAACACACCCATGCACATGTGACTGTTTTTTTTGTTTTTTTTAAGTAATACATGGGACGTTAGTTAAAAGTGTTTGTTTCCTCTTCTCTAGTGCCACCTGTCTTCACAGAACAGCCTACCAATAAATTTGCCCACACTCAGTCAGACGTAACCTTGGAGTGTGAGGCTCACGGCATTCCGCGACCGGTTATCACCTGGGTGAGGAACGGAGATGTTCTCAAACCCAGTGATTACTTCAAGATTCTGTCCAAGGGCAGCCTAAAGATTCTGGGCCTGGTGAATTCTGATGACGGAATGTATCAGTGTGTGGCTGAAAACGAACTTGGAGATGCCCAAGCCAGTGCACAGCTGGTGGTTCTCAGTGAAGGTAGGCTGACTAGGGATGTGATGTTGTCAGAACATGTTATCAGACAATTTATTACTGAGGCCTTTTTTCTTTTTCTTCTTCTTAGCATTCACTGGCTGTAAACTGCAGCAGAAAGTTCTGGTTTATTTGTGTGCATACTGTTGATTCCTCGCCTGTCAGGCAGATTGCATGACAACTTCAAAGGAAACACCTCTACTTAGTCACCTTTTAAGCCATGCTTGTGAGGGGGATGGTGGGGGTCCCCCCCCACCCCCTAAAGTGAGACCCTTTAACTTACACTGGGATGTCTTAATTAAGTAGATCTCAATGACTCATTGGCACCTTTACATCTTTCTAGATGATAGTATTATATTGAGCTGTGAGGAGGCATGGGACTCACAGCCCATGGTGATGGGGAATAACATGGTGACATGGCTCATCACAGTGATCAGCAGGATAACAGAGGTGCATGCGAAGCTTTGCCATTGACTTGATCAACAGCTTGTCTATGGCTTCCTGAATCCCAGTTGTGGAACAGAAGTGGGAAAGGGGCGTGGGGGGGGGGGGGGGGGGGGGGGGGGGGGGGGGGGTCAGATAAAGAATAGACTGACTGCTTAATCCTAGCAAGATGGGGCAAACCCAACAGAACGCTGCCAGTCATAGTGCAAAAAAGAAGAATAAAGTGTTGTAAAGCTGTGTAATTCAATATATACGCAGAAAATATAATGAGAAAAGTCAAAAATGACCAGACTTGGGACAGTTATGATCCACTCAGAACTGGTGGCAAGCTTATTCCAGAACTTCGCTATGCAGATGACACAGTCCTCCTTTCAAACAGCGTAAAGGGAATAGAAAATTATTATTGTCTGTCCAAAATCACAGTGAAGATCAAAATCTGTTCTTAAATTTAAAGAAAACGAAAATAATGTCCACAGATAAAACTAGCTGTCACCAAAAAATAACAATAAATGATGAAGAAATTGAAAATGTCACAAACTTTGAATATCTAGGCTCTATAATAAACAGCAATGGAGACTGTTTGACAGAAATTAAAAGGAGGATGGCTATAGCAATGTAGTTATTGAATACCCTTAAAAGTCTGTGGTTAAGCACCAGCAAGGAGATCACAATTATAATTTTGAGATTATGCAGCTTCCCTGTGGCTACATACGGATGTGAGTCGTGGACTATCTCTCAGTCCTTAAGAAAGAGAATAGGGACTTTTGAGTTGAAATGCTGTAGAAAGATTCTCAGAATATCTTGGACAAAGAAGAGGAGAAATACTGACATCTTGAAAGCTCTGAACATCAAGGAAGATTGGCTAATAAACAGCATCCTGTCTCTGAAGCTAAAATATTTTGGTCATATCAAGCGCCACGACGGATTATAATTTTTTTTTAAGCAGAAGGCATGTTATTAGGAAGGAGGTGCAGGGCCGACCGACACGTTGATGGGCACAGGATATAAGTGAGTTCTTGAGCATGAAAGTATATGAGGCGGGAGAGCTGGTGAGAGACCGAGTTTCTTTCAGGCAGACTGTGATGAGAGCAACGTTCTGCAAAGGAGCTGCTATATGATGATGATGATGATGAAAGCTGTGTAAACGTGTGTCTGTGACATGTGGACAGTATTCACACATGCAGAGAAGGACCTGATGGTAATGCATGCAGTGTGTGAGTAAAATACATAAATATGATAGCTTGATAAGCAAGACATTTGTACACAAAATAGTTCATGCTGTTGGAAATCAGATGATGTGGAGAAACATGAAACGTGAACACTTTGTGACAATCAACAGATGAAACATGATGGGAAATGAAACAAATAAAGACAAAACTGTATTTTTATGCTTTTTTCAAATGCCGTCATCACCATCATCCTTTTGTGCGTTTTCACGTCACATTTGGACTTGCATCTTATTCGTCTATTCTGTTCTTTCATGTGCAGTTGTTTCCAAAGCATGGATGGAATCCACTCCAGTACCTTAGACTAGACGTCTCTCATCAGCAGTCATATTAGGGTATCTTTAGGACATCCACATTCTTCAGTCCATTTGTTTCTCATTTAAGTACCTGTTTGGTGATTTTATGTTTGCAGGATTATATCGGCTAGTTCATTGTCTTATCACAATCTTTGCCAGTGGTTATTCAGAGATTTCTTTGCCTTTCTTGAATTCATTCAATTTAATGTTAAAATAAATTTCCTTTGGCTTTTTTTCCCTTTTCTTTTTCACGCTCGCTGTCTGTGAACTCCGGATTGTTCATCCACCTCTGGACTTTAGTTTTGTTCCAGAACCTGAGTGTTACATGCACATCCACTTTACAAATATGGCTCATGTGTATGCAGACTGTTGGTGCCTTGCATCTCAGGCAGGTGCACTCTGACTTTGTGGCAAGTCCCCAGTTAGTCGACTCTTACAACATGCTTGGTGGAGAGGCAGTGGATCTGTTCTTGTTTTCCCTACAATGGGGTTCCGGAACCCCCACAGTGGGGTTCCAGCACCCACATGGGGAATGTGTTTTCAAATGCAGTTAACTTTTGTTCCCTGTCTTTAGTGGTTCTCCAAAAGCATGGAGCATGTGACCCAGTCTAAGACTGGTGATCTTGTGAGAAAGTGACCCATAATCATTGAGGTCAAGACATGATGATGATGATAACTGGACAGTCTGGTAGTCTTAGTTTCAGCTTCATAGCAAACGGATCGCCCCATCTTTGCTCCGCTCCAGTGCCAACGAAAAACACACAGAATGTTTATCACAGTATTAGAATTGCAGTTCATCATTGATGGTAGCAGAAGTCACCAACAGATCAGCAGTTGCCCACGCGATCAATTTTAATCATATACGGGCACCACAACACTGCACGACAGGCATCGTGCCATTTTCTGAATCTACAATTCACACCAACACGTTGGTCACAGTCAAAAAAACATTCCAAATGCAATCCACAGCTCACAGGGTCACGCCATGCATTCAACTCAGAAGCTGGGTGACGAAACTATATACAGTCTACAAATGGAGCAAAAATGCATCGGCCACCGTCCGGCAGAAGCAAAAAATTTGCCTCTGTTTCGAACAGTGCCGCTGCCTAACGTCCATTTTGACCGGAACTGGACAGTATAACTGGATAGTATCTGTTAATTTTATCATCAGTCATTTGATTGGGTCCATACAGGATCTTTAATTTTATCTTGTGAAATCTGATTGCTTACACCCACTAGATTCAACATTTTGTCATCTGATTTACTGAAGATTACGCCCAGTATCTCATAATTTAGCCATCTTTGTAGTTAGCCATGTCTAGTATCTGATTATTGTGTGATCTGTCTGTAGCTATTTGCACCAGGTATCTTATTATTGTGTGATCTGTCTGTAGCTATTTGCACCAGGTATCTTAATATTTTGTGATCTGTCTGTAGCTATTTGCACCAGGTATCTTATTATTTTGTGATCTGTTTGAAGTTAGTTACTACATATTGTATATCTTTTTTTCATTTGATTTGTAGTCATTTTCACCAAGTCGATTATTTTTTATCTGCTTTATATGATTGTCTGCGTTAGTGGTTTAGGGGTTGTGAACACGCTTCATTATTCTTCTTTTTCACGTTCACCAGCTTTAAACTTTTCTGAAAAGTTAGGGTATTCACCCACCCTCGGACTTGAGTCTTGTTCCAGAATCTGACTGTTGCATGTAAATCAGTTTCACAGATCTGGTTTATTTGTATGTAGACTCTTGGTTCCTTGCCTCTCAGGCAGAATTACTCCAAATTCGACGGATGCTCCCAATTAGTCTACTTCTAGGACATACTTGTTGAGAAGGCGGTGAGTCTGTTCTTGTTTTTCCTACAGTGGGGCTATAGAACCCACTCGGGGAGCTTCGCAGTTCTGAGGTGCTCAGCTGTTTCCTAGGGCATGAAAGGCTGGTTCATTTTTAAGCTCTGTCCTATATTTAGCAAGTGCAGGGGTTTTGAAAATCCCTGCGAGCTGTTGCAGGAGCTGCAGTGTGATGTTTTGGGTGATACTTTTGGCAAACACCCATTTGACAGTGAGAGAGAGCCATCTGGGTGGGTAAAGGTAGGGTGGGGGCGGGCAGTCTTCTTCTTTCTTCTTCGTGTTTACCAGCTGTAAACTCCGCTGGCAAGTTCTGGTTGTTCGTCCACTTCTGGACTGCAGCCCTGTTCCAGAATCTGAGTTTTGCATGTGCATCTGTTTTACAGATCTGACTCATTTGTATGCAGACTGCTGGTTCCTTGCCTCTCAGGCAGATGCATTCCGACTTCGAAGGAAGCTCCCAATTAGTCGACTCCTACGACATGCTTTTGGGTAGGCAGTGGGTCTATTCTTGTTTACCCTATAACAGGGCCCCAGAACCCACACAGGGAGGACGTGCAGTAAAATAAAGGTCATCCTCAAGTCTGTAAACATAATAAGAACACATGGACATGCATGCCTTGAACACAACATTTGTGAGATAGTTGATGACTTCCAAACATGCTGTGCAGACACACAGTGTTTATATTGTACTTATACACTGTTGTTTTGTGCATTTGTATTCATATTGTACTTCATTCACTGTTGTTTTGTGCTGCTTGTATAGCAATGTTTGTGATTTATTTGCTGTGGCTTTCAGCTGATTTAGTTCCAGCACACTGATTTATTTTTATTTCCCCCACCCCTCAAACACCTATTTACCCCCTACATATCCCCTTTCCTTCCCAAACCATTTCCTTATACCTGTTTATGTTGATCACTTTGTGGCATATACTTACTTATCTACTAAATCTGCACCAATTTGCATGGCTTTCTGCACCATTGTCTTGTATGTGTTTGTACATTAAAAAAAATCTTGCTTTTTTAACTGTTTTTATTTTGTCTCTCATTTTTGTAAACTAATGCTAACTGGCCTTTAAAAAAAAAAACAATTTTGATTTCTATAATTTTTTGTTATTCAAATATGATTTTTTTTTTCTATTGATTTGTTTGCAATCAATATAAACCTTATGATTTTCAAATTTTTGCATTTTTTAAAAAACATGCATGCAATATTTCTTTTAATAATATTAATATTCTAATCAACTGCTATAATTTTATGGAAATTTCTCAAAAACATACTTTATTTATATAACACAACTATGAAATATTCCAAAATGGCTGACTTTCAATTATTTCTGAATCACATATTTGTACAACTCACAAAACTACACTCTTTATCTGGTGTTTCCTGTTAATGAAAATGTTCTATGCCACATTGTGTATGTTCTACAATGCTTGTGCTCTACAACAAAAGATCTACTTCCTCTGCCCACTATGCCCTCATCCAACCCTTACCCACTACCAGCTGGCGCGCTCTACTCAGAGTCCCACTCCAAAGCACCCACTCCAGTGAATCTCCGAGCTGTGCTGGTGTCTACACGGTTCGTCATGCTATCCTGGGACCTTCCTGACCTGCAGGGGATGAAAGATGTCACATCCTACTCTGTATTTTGGCGGGAAGCTGGATCTGAAAGGTACGTATGGCTGTTAACCATCCTGTTAAAAAATTGACAGGTTCGACAAGAATGTGCTGGTGCCAGCTGTAATAAAGAGCTATGTGTTTAAATATAATTATGCAAGATTAGAAACTGCCAAATGGGCTGCGTGGTCTTAAGGTGTGGTGTCTGCCTCAAATCCTAGAGGTTCTGGGTTCAATCCCTGGTAGGGCCTGGTAGTTTTTCACATGGACTTGGATTTCTAGTAATCCCCCCCCCCCCCTCCCATCTCTGGGTAGTGAGATTGGACGCCCGCGTGCATTGTTGCGCATGTAAAAAAAAATCCCTTGGCGGTTGGAAATGGAGTAGCCTAATGACACTGCCCGGGCAAAATTTGGAGTTAAAAATCTACCCAAAGTATTTCAGGATTCTCGCCTGTGCTACAGAGCCTGTGCACTGTGCTGAGCTTCTTCGGACTCAGACTTGAGTCAGAAGACAGAGGGAGCACTTATGGGTTACTCTCCGTGTGCCATGATGTTGGTCTGTTGTTCAAACTTCAAACCTAGAAACTACCAAGGAACATATAGCAGGAAAGTGAAGCTAGGAAAGGGTCAAATGCTTGAATTTGAAGAAAGGAACTTGCAGCTGCTTTGTGGGCTCTTTGAACTCGGTGGTAAACAAAGCTTTGATATTGTGCTTCTGTTATCCCATTCAGTACCAGTGAACATAACAATTGTTTACAGGTTATTTCAAGAATGATATAGTTCTTAATTCTCCATGGTCTCTCTTTGTTTTACATTAACTCCTTATATACCAATTGTTACTTAAGTCACATATGTGATTATCTGAAATACTTTACATTCAGACATTTTGTGGTTTATAATGACAACCACATAGAACAGAATACTGAAATAACACTACCAGGGACTGAAATAACACCACCTGGGACTGAAGAAAAAAAAAACACCCGGGACTGAAATAACACTACCTGCGACTGAAAGCATCACCACCTCTTTTCAAATTCTTATTTTAATTTTAATACTTCTTAGACTAAAAAGAATTATATTCTGTTATACTTAATCTGCCTTTCATTTGCTTCTCTTACCAAAACAGGTCTGTTAGCCTAGAAGTTTGATTGTATATCCGTAGGGCCATTCTCCATAATGGTCTTTTTGTGCCTCAGCACTGTTCACTCACTCCCAAAGGGCCCTCACAACATCTAGCTTGTCGTACATCAATTCACCACCAAGTGCTGCAGTACCGACCAGTCTATCTGCCTGCTTATTTCCCAACACACTGGCATTACCTGGAGAAAATAATCAAAGTACGCTAACTACACGGGTCCTCTAACTTGATGCTTGCCACTCTCCACAGATTTTTTTTTTTAAAGTTTAAATTTGGAGTCTTCCTATTGTATAGGACAGTAAATAAGTCTGTTGTATAAGACAGCACATGTCTGTTGTGTAAGACAGTACATTGTCTGTTGTTGAGCCAATACATAGTCTGTCTATAGTTAAGAGAGTAAGTGGCCTATTGTTCAAAATACTACATTGACTGTTGTTAAGACTACATAGTCTGTTGTTGAGAGAATATGTAGCCTATTGTTAAGACATTACTTAGCTTATCAAGAAAAGATATAAACCAGAACAAAAAGTATATTAGCAAGCTTCACAAATTAACAAATACAAACAAAACGTGAACGTTGCGGCTATTGAACCTTCATTAGCACACACAAAATAAACACTACTACATAGATACAAAAAATCATTACTTAGCTTAGACTGTTGTTGAGTCAGTATTTAATCAGTCTGTTGTTGCGACAATATGATGCCTATTGCTGAGATACTACATAGTATATTGCTGAGCTACTACATAGTCCATTGGTGAGATACTACATAGTCTATTGGTGAGATACTATATAGTCTATTGCTGAGATACTACATAGTCTTTTGCTGAGCTACTACATAGTCTATTGCTGTGATACTACATAATCTGTTGCTGAGATACTACATAATCTATTGCTGAGATACTACATAGTCTTTTGCTGAGCTACTACATAGTCTATTGCTGTGATACTACATAATCTGTTGCTGAGATACTACATAGTCTTTTGCTGAGATACTACATAGTCTATTTCTGAGATACTGCATAGTCTGTTGTTGAGACAGTATGTAGACTGTTTAAGAGACAGTACATAGTCAGTCTATTGTTAAGACACTACCTACTTTACTGTTGGGAAACTACATAAATTGCTGAGGCACTGCATAGTCTGTTGTTGAGTTATTACAGTATGTTATTGCTACAGCACATAGACTGTTGTTGTTGTTGTGGAGACAGTACATTGTCTGTTGCCTGAGTCAACATTTGTAAATGTTTTTGATAGTCTACTTCCCATAGAGGAGTCTAATCAGTGACCTCTATTACAGGGAGCGGGTCAGCAACACTACATTACAGGAGTTCAACATCCAAAGCTTGAAGCCTAAAACTGAATATGAGATTCGAGTCCGAGCCTACAACAGCCAGGGTCCCAGCCAGAGGGAAGCCAAAATTACCGTCCTGACAAAAGAAGAAGGTGACGTTTGTTGTTTTGTATGACCAAGCTTCTTTCTTCTTCTTCTTCTTCTTCTTCTTCTTTGCATTTGGTTCCATAGGCTCAGGTCAAGCCATCAGGTTGGTTGCTCTATGAACTTACATGTCAGCTGCAGGTCCTCCATGCTTTGTGATCTGGTCTATCTGGTTTCACCAGTCTTCTTGTATCCTTTATAAAGTAAAGGCGATCTCCATGCCAAAAGGGTTAAGCCATTCATTGTCTATTAGGGTTGTCACTAGAGCTTCAGAATGTCATAGTTTATGCGAGCTTTCAGCAGATGATTTGCTGCTCTGCAGAAGGAGACTGAACCTTACGAGATAAAACACAGTGCTGTGAAGTCTGTTGTCTTCAAACCCCATTGTAAAACTAGTCAAGCTGGTGCCTGTGGCTTAAGGGCTGGAAGCATAGTGTCACAATCTTCTTATTTCAGAGTTCTAAATCACCTGCTGACAGTTTGGTATCAAACCTTGTGTTGATTTTGACAAAGTAGGGAGACTTATACAGTCTAGAAAATTTTCACTGACTGCTGAATATAAAACTTTCAGAAAAAGGGGGGGGGGGGGGGGGGGGCGACGACTCACTGCCACATAACAACTATGTGGTAAAAAGGCGAAAATTATCCTGAAATTGGATGTGTTGGGCAAAAGGTGCATATATCGCAGACTAGCTACAAACCACAATGCACCGTGCTTTTCTAAAGGCGATTGATTTAGAATTAGTGAACCACACAACAGCCAGTGAATGTTGGGGTTGGTTTTTTGACATCCTAAAGAAATATATCCAACTAAGGTGTGATGCAGTTTTTGCAACCCCTGCTTAACCTTAGTGTTTCTAATCCTGCCATAATTGTAGTCTCACTCACCTCATTGAAATCTGCAGCATTTTGTTCCTCTGCTCGCTCTATTTATTGATCCTCCAGAATAGTTGCAGAACCAACCAAAGAATGGCTGTTTTAAAAATCCTTTGACGCCAGCATGACCCAGTACAAAACCAGATCATTAGTCTTAACTAAATTTCTATATTGATTTTTAACCACTGCTTTTGATAGTATTGGCAATACGATTGGAATTATTATGAATATATTTCTTATCCAAGGCTAGCATTTTATCCTCACCTCTTGATTTACTAGAATTTAGTTGTCTTGGCTAGACAAGACCCACACTGAGAAAACCTGTTAATAATATTACTAGATTGCCTTTGAACTTGGCTCACAAAACACATAAGATATGTAAAAGTAAAGGCCCCTTTTCCACGCCTACAAGCCTATTTAGCATATAGGGCTGTACCTATATTTTATAGACCAATCGGCATTTAGTGGGTGATATGGTCAGCATCTCGCTGCCCACCTTTACTTTCCAAGACTGCACCGGGTATCCACTTAAGGCTGGGTCTACCTAGAAGTCAAGGTCATATTAAAGAAGGCCCATTTCTACCAGAACCCGAACCCACGACCTTCCGATCCGCATGCAGGCATCCAGCCACTGCACCACAGTGACTCCCACACAAGTTTAAAGCAGCACCGAACAGCATGGATAAGAGATTTTGAGACATCTGAATAATTTGGGAATGACTTGGAATTAGCTGAGGAAGATAGAAATGGATACATCTTTTTGGACTGAACTGGTGAAGGATCTGTGTTCAAATGAAAGATAAAGGTCTGAAGAACTAAAGAGGAAGAAGACAAGAAATGCATGATGTGGTTATATCTTGTGCTGTTGCAGTAAATGAAAGTTGTATCTGTGCACATCTTTGTAGTGTTGGTGCCCAGTCCGCCTATCAACCTGAAGGCTACAGCTCTGTCTTCTAACTCCATTGCTGTAACCTGGGACCCACCAGTGGAAAGCAAGGGCGTTGTGGAGTTGTATGTTCTCATTTATTACAAGGTCAGTAAAACATGTGATTAGAGCAGGCGTGCATGTGGCTATGTCTGTGATGCATGTGGTTCACTAAGTAGGTAGTGTGTTTATCTTCAGTAGTATTTGTAGTTAGGTCAACGATACACGGGTTAGGTCTCAGGGATACATGGGTTAGGTCAGTGGTGCATGTGTCAAATCAACAATAAGGTCATTGATACATGGATTGGTTAGGTCAGCAATGTATAAGTTAGGTCAGTGATACATAGAGTTAGGCCACTGGCATGTGGTTATGTCAGTGACCACATCTGGTAAGGTCACTGGTATCTACATAAAAGTTGTGCGCGACATTCAGGTGAGGTCTTGGTCAGATATGACTCAGCTACACTATAACAGTAATTGCTGCCTGTTCCCTGTTAATGGCAAGTGTCTGCCGGTGTATACCAAACATGATGTCTCACATTTTGCTAGCAACTGCGGGTCTAGGAATGCATTGAAGAGGATACTGGCCTGATCCTAGGAAGAGGAACTGTGGCCTGCAAACTTGCTGCTCACTCAGTAGATCATTGGTTCAGTATTGGCCTCAGATTGTGATACATGTCTTTTGGAAATTCTTGAGGGTTGTCATTAGAGATACACAGTTGTGTAAAAGGTAAAGTCCTCTCACTGTTTCTCACCTTCTCTTCAACCTTTTTGTCTTCCATCGGTTTTCACCACATGGCTTTTGTGGGCTGCCCCACAAAACAGATGAACACCAGATGTGAGAGGGCAGTTCCACAGGTGTGACATGAACAAACTTTTCCATAAGTTTGTTTTAGCCATCATACTCTGTGTGACAGTATTGTGATAATTTGTGAAAATAAGAACATTGACCCACGTCTTTATAAGCCAACTCACAGCTGTTTTTTTTTTTAGAATGGCTGTGACACACTAGAGAATAAAAAGTGAAAAAAAAAGTGGAGGAGACAGAAAGTGGAGGAAGAGAGAAGGGGAACATGACAATGGGAGGAAGGGAGTAGGAAAGAGGAGGAGAGAAAATGGGAGGGAAGGGTCAAAGATAGGAAGTTTTTTGGCACAAAAGTGTGAACTTAAGTCTACTTAATCTTAGCCCCTCCGCTTACTTTTTAATTATGTCTGCATATCTCCCTTTTTAAAATTCTTTGTTACATCTTGTATGTTTTGTTACCGTATATTTGCCCTATTTCTCTGCAGGTTGGGTCAAAGTCAGAGGATGAGATACGAGTGAAAGAAACCTTTTATACGTTAAAAAATTTACAACAGTTCCGTAAGTATTTTTGTTTTAAATCTTCTGATGATTTTAACTGCTCATTTTAGTTCAATAATTTGTGTATTATTCACAAATCATGTCTTATTGAAGAATTTAAGTTTTTGTGTGTCAGTATTTTATGGTTGCAATCTGATTTATAGCAAATAAATTGTTGGTGGAAATGTTTAAATAGGAAATAAAGTTCAGAACTTAGTGACAGCTCGTAAATTTGATGAGAAAAGAGAATATGAAGACAGAGATAATATCTAGATGACTGGCCCTAGGTTGGACAATACACAGACTGTATCCATGATTGTGGTGATCGTATATGGTGAAGAATTGTGACTGCTCACTGTCGCAGCATAGCTCATGATGATGACAGTTATATTTGAAATTTTCAAGTCAGTGCTGTATTGCCTAGCTCATACTGTAATTCCTAACTCATGGTTCATTCTTTTATTCCCAGTATGTTCTATAACTCCCAGCTCGTGCTATAATTCCTGGTCCAATCTTTTATTCCCAGTATGTTCTATAACTCCCAGCTCGTGCTATAATTCCTGGTCCATTCTTTTATTCCCAGTATGTTCTATAACTCTCAGCTCGTGCTATAATTCCTGGTCCATTCTTTTATTCCCAGTATGTTCTATAACTCCCAGCTCGTGCTATAATTCCTGGTCCATTCTTTTATTCCCAGTATGTTCTATAACTCCCAGCTCGTGCTATAATTCCTGGTCCATTCTTTTATTCCCAGTATGTTCTATAACTCTCAGCTCGTGCTATAATTCCTGGTCCATTCTTTTATTCCCAGTATGTTCTATAACTCCCAGCTCATGCTATAATTCCTGGTCCATTCTTTTATTCCCAGTATGTTCTATAACTCTCAGCTCGTGCTATAATTCCTGGTCCATTCTTCTATTCCCAGTATGTTCTATAACTCCCAGCTCGTGCTATAATTCCTGGTCCATTCTTTTATTCCCAGTATGTTCTATAACTCCCAGCTCGTGCTATAATTCCTGGTCCATTCTTTTATTCCCAGTATGTTCTATAACTCTCAGCTCGTGCTATTATTCCTGGTCCATTCTTTTATTCCTAGTATTCTCTGTGACTCTCAGAGACTTGTGTACGAGCGCACACATGCATGAGAGAGAGAGAGAGAGAGAGAGAGAGAGAGAGAGAGAGAGAGAGAGAGAGAGAGAGAGAGAGAGAGAGAGAGAGAGAGAGAGAGAGAGAGAGAGAGAGAGAGAGAGAGAGAGAGAGAGAGAGAGAGAGAGAGATATCTTGATGTTTTGCACTTGGTACCACCTGATTGCAATGCCACTGTCTACAAGGGCTTGGAATGACTTGGTTAATGGTCTTTGCTTCACTGGGAGATATAAGGCAGAAGAGAAAATGAAGGAACAAATCGAGGTGGCATATGAGAAAGGTTTTAACTCTTTGAGTTCCAGGGGGTTTAGCATCAGAGGCTCAAGGCGTAGTCAAGAGAGACGTAAATCAGCGCATCTTGCATTCATTGGGCTTCTAGGTATGGACCTATGAATGTATGATGTGTTCCTTGGGACTCAAAGAGTTGAAGGTCCTGAATCAGGCAGAACTAGCCCTAACCCCCCCCCCCTCTCCCTCGACCCTCTAAACCACAGTCTCAGCCTACGTCCTATGACACCATGCAGCCTAGTCGCATAATTGTATACAACATATTTTATAGGCTGCATGCAGTCGTGGAAGAAGGCTGCACTGTCTTGCGGGATGAAGGCTGGGGCTGACAGCAACAAGTAAAATACTACATGTTACTGTCCTGTCACTACGCGTGACACATCCGCAACATAGGACGGGCCCTGCGACACTATAAGGCATGAATGGCAAGGGAAGTCGCTCTCTTTCTGGGCCGGAAAACGTTACAAGCACCCTTTTATTGTTAATAGCCACGTTTGGCACTGCTAAAACAGTGCTAGTAAAAAAAAAAGGTGTTTAAACTTGTGTTGAATAGTGATCCTTTTGTGTCAATTGTTACATGTTTGTTCTGCAAAATTGGTGACCTAGAGCTTGATTATGTTTAAATGTTTTAACTTTCTTTATATCAAGTTGTATGTGCGGTTGAGTCAGTTGAGATTAATATTGTAAATATTTCACAACCAGATTTGAGATCAATTCAGTGACCTAAATAATATGAAATCTACAGGGGAGTACAGTTTCCGTGTTCTAGCTGTCAATGAAAATGGCCGTGGACAAAGTACTGCTGAGGTGACAGCAAGGACATTCTCTGCCATTCCAACAGCACCCCCTCAGAACTTTACATTAGAAGTGTCAAGTTCAACAGTGAGTTCTTTAGTTTAATGACAGGAGAACAGGTTGCAAAGATAAGTAAACGTAGATTTAAAGCATTATAAGGTTTGTAAGTAAAGGTGAGGAAGTGGTGTCTGTAAATTTAGTTAAGGGAATGAACAGTCATATAAATAGGAGTGAGGTTATGGAAGACTTGTTAAATAATAACTGAGGGAGTGAAAGGATGTTTAAATATAATTGATGGAGTGAAAAAATGTAAAAACAACTGAAGGAATGGAAGAATGTTTAAATATAATTGATAAAGTGGAAAAAAATTAAAAAACATAACTGAAGGGATGGAAGAATGTTTAAATATAATTGAAGTGGAAAAATGTAAAAACATAACTGAAGGAATGGAAGAATGTTTAAATATAAATGGAGTGGAAGAATGTAAAAACATAACTGAAGGAATGGAAGAATGTTTAAATATAAATGAAGGAGTGGAAGAATGTAAAAACATAACTGAAGGAATGGAAGAATGTTTAAATATAATTGAGGGAGTTGAGGAATGTTTAAATATAATTGAGGGAGTGGGAAAATGTAAAATCATAACTGAAGGAATGGAAGAATGTTGAAATATAATTGAGGGAGTGGAAGAATTTAAAAACGCAACTGGTGGAGTGGAAGAATTTAAACAAATAATTTTGGGAGCAGTGTATGAATACAGTTATGGGAATGACAGAATGCATGAATTAATCTGAAGAAATGCAAGAATGTAGAAATGTAGTAAAGAATATATCAGTTAAACTGAGGGAATTAGAGAATGTAACAAAATAAATGAGTGAATGGAAGATTTTGAAAAGTACTTAAAGGAAGGAATAATGTTTAGTGCCACTAAGGAATTAAAACAATGTATTCATTTTTGAGGCAGTGGAAAATATATAAATGCAGTTGAGAGAAGAAAACTGTAATAAATATAATGTGACTGACGGGAAAAAGAATAATATGATTTGAGGGAAGAGGGAACCAAATGCATAAGCTCAGCTCATGGCAAGGAAGAATGCATGTCAGTAGTTGAGACAATAAAATAAAATGTAATGTAGTTGAGGCAAATAAAGAATATTTAATGGTAGTATGGTAAGCGGGAGTTGTCGTAGCGCTGGCGGCTAGACGCCTTCCTGCAGATCCGAAGGTTGTACATTCGCATACTAACCACCCCCCCCCCCCTCCCCTCCCCAATGACCTTGACTCCCAGGTCGACCCAACCTTGAGTGGGTACCAGGTGCAGTCCTGGAAAGTAAAGGCGGCCTGTGTGATTCTGACCACATCATCCAACAAGTACCGGTTGGTCTATACAAATATATCTCCAGCCCTATATCCCTAATACGCCTAAAGGCATGGAAAAAGGACCTTTACTTTAATATGGTAAGTGTCAGAAGGGAAGAAATAGGTATTTACTTAGTTAAGTGGAAGATACAAATGTTATCTTTAAGAAAGGTGGTACTGTCATGGGTTTCAATCTCTGCAGAGCTTAATTGTAAGATGGCAACCTCCACCACAAGATTTTCAGAATGGCATCATAACGGGCTACAAAATCCGATTGAGAAGGAAAGGTTATCGAGATAAAGAGGGAGACACTAAAGTCACAGATGGAAACAGAAATACATATGCTTTAACAGGTTTGTGATTTGATCCTTCAGTATTTAAATTGCTTTGAGTGGGTACAAAGTTAGTTCTTAGCTTTTTCTGTTCCAGTTTTTACTTGTACCAATTCTACTCTGATCGTAAAATATTCAATGTCTGGAGTCTAAATGCTTTTAAAAGACATTATTTGATTTTTTTTTTTTTTTAAATGTGAGTTAATTTAACAACTGTGTTTGAATATTGAACGTTGTCTATCTTTCTTCTTTTTCTCCTCCTCCTCCTTCCCGTCATCCTCACCGCTGCCGCTTCACCTCCTCTTCTTTTCTCTTCTTCTAATACTAATCTTTTTCTTCTTCTTCTTCTCCTCCTCCTCCTAGTCCTCCTCCTATTCCTTCTCCTCCTCCTCCTTCTTCTTCTTCTTCTTAAGTATTTTAAGTATGAATGCATTAAAAGACCTTTGAAAAGAAAGAACTAAAGAAACAATTCTGATAGAATGGCTTAATGTGACAGTTCTATGACAGAATATAATATTGCATGCTATCTTTGTCAGTTACCATGATCACTAGCATTGTCCAGGTTTCTTTCTTAGTTTTAGTATGTTGTTTAACTTTCTAGATGCCTAGCTGATTGGGACCTATCTACTGCATGAAGGATGGTCAGATTCCAAAGAATCTCTTGTATGGTGAATTAGAAACAGAAAAATCTACAGGCAGTCCAAAATTATGCTATAAGGACATATGCAAATGTGACCTGAAAGATAGCAACATTGACATAGAGGGATCGGTTGCAGACGAGACCAACTCTTGATGAAGCAGACAGTTAAAGAAGGCTGTCATAGTTTGCAAGGGGCCTAACACAGCAGGCTACTTAGAGGAGATGTCTAGAGAAAGCCAGCCTCAACATAATAGTATCAGTGTTTTTATGTAGTTAGTGTGGCAGAGACTGCCACTCCCTCATTTAATTTAACAGTTGTAAAAGACACAGTTTTCAAAACCGACGGCACAGCACCAGGGTCCCTAAGGACTGGTGGTTGCCTGTGATCTCATGATAAACATTCACTGTGTTTTTCGTTGGCACAGGAGCGGAGCAAAGATGGGGTCACCCGTTTGTTATGAAGCTGAAACTAAGACTACCAGACCAGACTTCCAGACCAGACTATGATCTCGTGATACCGATATTTTCTTATGTAAAAATATTTTTGGTCAGTCCTGTCATATTTTAAAACAAATATAAATTTCTGTTTCACTTCTACTATCATGTGTTGTTACCTGTCCAAGATAGAAGAAACTTGTTATTTATATCTTTATATAGTGTGATGTTCACTTTTGATTGTTTAAACTAGATTTGCGCAAAGGAACAGAATATCAAGTTCGTATTGCTGCCACAACAGTGAATGGAACAGGACCATTCACCTCTTGGGAGACGGCCACCACTTATCAAGATGATTTAGATGGTTGGTAAACCTTTCACTAATTGTTTGCTGCTGGTAGCTCTAGGTTAAACTGATGGAAGATATGTTGTTAGAAGAAATGTGTGTAATTAAAAGTATGGGTGCTTTATTAATATTCTACCCCAGATGACGTCACAGGACACTCCAAAATTTTAGAGGTTGGTCAGACTGGATTTCCCCACTTTCTGATGCTTTTAACAACACTAAAATATATAGAACTGGCCTTAACCCCAACCCACCTTCGTCCCATGAGAGAGTGCAGCCTAGGTCCCACGACTGCATGCAGCCTAGGTCCCATGACTGCATGCAGCTTATCTGCCACCCCCTTAAATATTTGACTAGCCCATGACCTGTGGATTTTGTCTGTTTAGGGTAGGATATTATTAAAGCACCTAAGTATGTGTCTGGCAAGATTAGATATATAATAGGGGAAAATGTGATGCCTGTACAACCAGTGTGCTACTGGAACAGCCAGTATATTCATCCTAAGGCATTTACTGTGGGACACAGGGCATCTGTGGGTATGCCCAGTGGGCTGTGATTTTGATTCTTAAATAGGTAGTCAGTAAAGGTTGAATCGGTTTTATACATGCCAGACATGAACAGTCAGCAGACAAGATTCTTCTTCTTCTTCTTCTTCTTCAGCATTCTGAGCCCTTGAGATTAATTGCTGCAGTTATCAGCGGCCTCCATTCACCTCTCTGGTTGGCCTTCTTTTTCCAGTTGGTGACAGCAGACAAAATTAATAAACACAAAACTTACAAGGAGCAGACATTTTGGATTAGATTAAATAGATGTGGACGACTGGTATGTTTTGGATATGTTATAAGAAGGAACAGGCTTGGGAGTTTAGTGAGCTCTGGCAAGATGGATGGAAAGAGAGCAAGGGGAAAGGCAAGCACATAAAAATCATGATGTATTAGCCACACGGATGGGGTGGGTCTAGAGCACTGATTGAATCTGTGATTCTGGTGATCACGTGGGAGCGTGAATCATGGCAGCTTATGCTTATTACAAAGCAAATGATGGTAGTAATGAAAGGTAGTTGATAGATATTTTTGTACATTTAGAAATTAGAGGCTATAAAGATGTGACCCTAATGAAGAGTGTCTTTGGTATGTAACTGTGGTATGTTATTTGTCTGAGACTGGATTGCTTTGATTTTTCTGTAATTCCCACTCAGCAAATCGGGACTGATTGTAAATTTAAATTAAAGAAGAAAAGAATGGGTATTCTAAAATAAAACAACAAGGGTAGGTTGAAATCGAGTGAAGAAAACAATGAAGAATAGAAAAGATAAGGTAAAATACATGATAAGAAATATGATTTCTAATCCTTCTCCAGTTCCTCTTGATTCTTCTACCTCCAAATCCTGCTAATCCTCTTCCAGATCTTCCTTCTCCAAATCCTCTCCAACTCAGCCCACCTACTAATTATCTTTGTTATTTTTAGTCTCCTGAGCCTCAGTATTCTGTTCCTGCATAAGCCCTTGCTCTGCTGCCTTCCTTGTCCTATTTGGTCTTCACTTTTTTATTGTTATTATTCATATTATTTTATTGTTAATATTATCACTGCCATCATCATCATCAATGTTGTTGCCATTGTTTCAGAGTCTACAGTGCCGCCGGAGCCAGCACATCTGATTGCCCGACCCAAAGCCAACTCTATCAAAGTCTCCTGGGCTCCTCCACCGCCTCACTCCAAAATCCTGGTCAGGGGGTATGTGCTGGGGTATGGCCGCGGCATATCTGATGTATACAAGCACACACTGGATGCAAACACTCATGATTATGTCATTGAAAACCTGCGTATGTATGCATTAGGCACTGTGCTATCTTTCACTGTGTTTGTAAATGCATATGTCACTGCATTTTTGCTTGTATTTTATTTACTTCTCCTGTAAACAGTTGGATGAGAAGAAGAGTGGGTCAAAGTGTCAGAGCACAAATCAGACTTGTGTTCTGTTGTAATCATATGGAGCCAGGGAGTGTAAAGACTGACCATCAGACATTGTAGAATCAGAAATTCAACAATTCTTGACAATTCACACCCAGGTCATATGATTATCCATATAAATTGTGAAAGTGAATGGACAACACTTAGTGCAACAAACTCTAGCATATAATACTACATCATCTAGTTTCAGAATGAAGGTGGAGGCAGTCATAGGGGCTTTCCAGTGGCTTGAGACTCAGCTGCATACACATGTCATGACCGTAACTGAGAAAGGTAGCCACGCATGCTCATTGCAGGGTGGCAAGCATCGCTAAGAGGTCTTGGGTAGTTAGCGTTCATTGGATATTTTCTATAGTGTATGCAGATTTGTTAGATTAACAGACAGACAGATTGTCTGGAGTTGCACCAGTGAGTGGTGAATTGATGCGGTATAAGCTAGATGCCCTTTGGAAGCAATTGAACAATTCGGAAGCACAAATAGATCGTTACGATCTGGAGAGAATGGTACAGCTGGGAGGGACCAGGAAATCTGGTCGTCGCTACACGCATAGGAAAGACAACACTAACATATAATCACATTGCTACTACCACCATTAAAACTGTAACTCTTTGCTGGCTGCTGAAGATGACAATGAAGCGCTTATGGGAATGTCCTGCGTTGTCGGTTCTTAACTCAGCTCATGTGTTTCTTTTGTTTACATTTACCCAAAAATTTTTCAGTGGTTTAGTGTTGACGTTGAGATTTTAGTTCTTGTATATGTGATGATTTGCACATTTCAGTGCTTGTAAATTTGATGACTTGCACATTTTAGTGCTTGTAAATATGGTAACTTGCACATTTTATTGCTTGTATATATGTATGTGCACATTTTATATTGCTGCAGTTTAATATTAATCATCACTTACCACAAGCATATATTGTATTTGCACCTCCACATATGAAATGTTAGCACCTTTACTTACCTTCCCATCTTATTCCCCTGTGTGGCTTCTCTGTGTAAGATGGTTCTGGTCTGAAATCACACTGACAAGAAAGAAAACAAGCCAGCTAAATGTTAGCTGTTTCTTTGTGACCAGACAGACTTGCATACTCCTAGTCACATTTGATGGAATCATAGTGAGCCTTTTAAATCAGTTATTTGTGATGACATATTGCTGGATGGATATCACCTGTATTGTTGCAGACAAGGCACAGGACCTATTATCTATCAGTAATACATTGCTAGGCCCCTATGTCTGTGCCCTGACTCAGTGGAGCATAGACTTGAAGAAAGGCCAAAAGACTCATTTATCTTTGATTCGGCAGTTTAAATTGTCTGTTGAATGAGGTAGCTAGTAAAGGACCCTTTTCCACATCATCAGATGTAGTAGGCATATAGGGCTAGATCTATATTTTCTAGACCAATCAGCACTCAGTAGGTGATGTGGTCAGCATCCCACAAGCCACCTTTACCATTTTGAGTTGAGTTGACCTGGAGTCAAAATGATTCTTAAAAAAAAAAAAAACTCAGATCCTTCAGATCCGCAGGCAAGCATCTAGCCTCTACACCATGGTGGCTGCCATAGTATTCAGAGGCTGACATGTTTTATAACTAGCCTTATACTGAACTGTTTAATTCAGGCTCAGTTAAACTTGAGATTTAACAATGCAGTGGAGGCTTTCAAAATTGTGTTACTTTTGGTAGTAATGTTAATGTTATGTAATATATTAAGTTTGTAATGTTGCTGCTAGTAAAAGACTTATTTGATTTCCTTGCTGTCAGAAACTTGTGTCAATATATTGATGCACAGCACAGAGTAGCATTTGATGGATACAATGTCGTACCAACCTTGTAACTAGTTTGAATGTTCTTAGAAACTTGTAGTAACTTCTGTTCCTATACCCAGATGCTAAGGACACTGGCAGCCATTGACAGTTAATCAAGGATATTTCTATCATTTCAGAACCGGCCTCTCACTACGTGATCACCATCAGAGCCTTTAACTCTCAGGGGCAGGGTCCCAGCAAGTACGAGACTGTCATTACGTCAGAAGATACAAGTATGTAGTTTGTTTAATCTGTTTTTCTAGATTCTTTTGAGTCTGAAGGGTTTCTCCATGGAAGTTAAAGATGATAACTAACTTCTGTAGAATGTGTAATTCTAGAAGAAAGGAAGAATAGGTGTTCTATCAATAGCCAGATTAGTAATAGTTAATATTGTGATCAGTAGTTGTATAAGAAAGTAGAAAGTAAACAGTGCTTACTAGTAGTATGGGAAAGTCCTTACTATAGAGTATTGTATAGACAAATCACCATTGGGATCAGCAGTTGAATAGAAAAGGTGGTACTAGAGTATTGTGTAGAGAAATATTTATTGAGATGGGTAATGATATAAGAAAATTCATACTTGTTCACCAGGTAAACTCAGGCAGAAATTTCTGGCTGTTCATCCACTTTTGGACTTTGGTCTTGTTCCAAAAAAGTTTTGCCTGCACATCCTTTTCCCAAATTTGGCTTGTTTATATGCAGTCTTTTGGTTCCTCGGCTCTCAGCCTGTGCACTTTAATCACAAAGGAAACACCCCCTTTATTGGTCTTTTACAACCCTCCAGACAGCAAAAACACTGATAAGAGCTATAAACAAAGAGACTTGGTTGAACAGATGGGCCATGGGAGACACTGGAAGAGAGGTTTATAGACATATGTCTGGCCCTGATCCTAATGACAGCATTAACCATCTAACAAGAAGGGACCAGGCCACCATCTTCAGACTTAGAACGCAGCATACTCCACTCAATGGACACTTAAACAGAATACAGCCACAACACTCCCCAGAGTGCCAGCTATGTAACTACCCCTACAAAACTGTTGAACACCATCTCTTTGAGTGCCCAGAACTCAGTGAGACAAGAAGAACGCTACTCCCTCCGAGACCAGACAAGTGGAACACCTTGTACGGAGGAAAAGAACAGCTTGTGAAAACATGCAAATTCCACTACATGGCATTGGGCCAAAGGGCGAAAGCTCATGCGCCGCTGGATCGATAACAACAATTGGTCTTTTACGACCTGCTTGTTTGGGGGACAGTGGATCTTTCCACTCCTCCCACAAGTGAGGTCCCGAAATCCACACAGAAGGAAAATCCGTAATATTGTTTAAAAAGTGGACAAAAGGGAAAAAAATGATGAGTACTGTTAATAAGAATTTGGAGAAAAACCTGCAGTAATTCAGCATGTCAAATAAACAAAAAAAGAAATAGTCGCGACTCCCCTCAGGAACAGTTTAATGACAAACATTGGAGTTCCACTGTAATTTTACATTAGTTAATTTTTTTAATTTATTAATAGTAGTTTGTATATTTTTAGTTACATATTACAGATAATGTTATTTTATCAAAATAGTGTTGTATTCTGTTTGACCCTGTTGACAATGATCTGTTGAATTTCAGTTGAAGAACCAGCCACACCCATGCTGCCTCCAGTAGGACTTAATGCTCATGTACTGTCATCGTCAACAATTATTCTCACATGGGCGGATAACTCTCTCAGCAAAAACCAGAAAATCACAGATAATCGTTACTACACAATCAGATATCGGCCAGCAGGCAGCAAGGGCACCAAATACAGGTGCTGCTTTTATATTTTTTTTTCAAAGTGTTAAATTTTAAAAATCTGTTACAATCATTACGAGGAGTTGCCATGGCGTAGCGACTAGACACTCACATGTGGAATGGAAGATCGTAGAGTCGCTCCCTGGGGGAGCCCAACTTTTTTCAGAAATGACCTTGACTCCCAGAGATTGCATAATAGACTTCAGAAAAAGTACTGTCCAACATCTTTGTCTCTTGGTTTCCTGATTTATGTCCAACTTTTCTGTTTTGTTGACATACTCCAAATGTAGTCTTCAGCTGTATCGATTGCAGTAAAATAAATCTTCAGCTATTCAGCTTTAAAAAAAAAGGGGGATTTTGTAGCAGATCCTCTTAAAATAGTAAAAGCATTTCAGGACTCCTGTGAGTGTTCTGGGTCCACACTTTGAGGGACAAAAAGAATACCACACTGCCTCCCTAAAAGGTATGTTGTAGGAGTTATTAATTAGGGGTTTCTTTCGAAGTTTGAGAGCATCTGCCTGATCAGGTAAGGAACCAATAATTTGCATACACATAAGCCAGGTCTGTAAAATGAATGTGCACACAAAACTCAGAATTCTGGAACAAGACAAGTCCAAAAGTGGATGAACAACCAGAACTTTCCGCATGACTTTACAGCTAGTGAACGCAGAGAAGAATATTTCAGGACTGTCTACTGCCTTCTCTTACATATTGCTTCTCCTGACTATATTCTTTCTTCCGTTCTCCCTGCCAGTGGTTTCCATAGGAGAAGGCCACAGGCCTCAATAAAGTCTGTAGCACTTCACATGTCCTCCACTGATCCATACAACCTGGTGTCCAGTGGAATACCAGCTAACCTGACCTTGGATCTCCTTACTGCAGGGAGAGACCATCTGATATGCATTGCTGCAGTTAAGCTAGATGACTTTAACATGTGTTTTGTGTTTGCATTATTTATAAATACAGACAACTATCTTTATACATAATCACAGTCACGTTACCTTTCTTCTCTCACAACAGATTTATAAATGCAACTGACCTCAACTATCATATTGAAGGGTTACGGCCAAATACAGAGTATGAGTTTATGGTGAAAGTCATAAAAGGTCGCAGAGAGTCAGATTTCAGTATGACAGTTTACAATAAAACTGAGGAAGCAGGTTTGTTTTAGCTTCTGTTGTTTATGTGTCTGGACTAAACAAACATTACATAAGTATCACATAGACACTTGTTGCCTTGACACTGCACATAATCTTACCATCTTCACATTGCATACAAACTTGTCACCATGCAAACTTATCGTAACTGGAAAACAAAATGGCTTTGACATGTGCTGCCCTATGAGGAATACTTGACATTAGGTGATGAGACAAGATCACAAACACTGTGGTATTGAAAAACACAGGTATCACAATATTTTCTTTATGTCCAGTTTTTGAAGACTGAGATGGCTAGGGCACACTTGGACTGGAATAGTAGGATTCCAAAAGACATCCTCTGTGGTGATTTACAGATGGGTAGAAGATGCTGAGGTTGGTCTCTGACCGGACCTAAAAATGTGGGCTTAGCAGTGCTAGAGACATGAAGAATACAGGTATTGAGGTTGGAGCAGGTTTCCATGGATCATATTGTATGGAGGGGACAAATCAGGAAGGGAAAAGGGAGAATGGAGAAAATGATTGTGGATCGGTTTGAGAGATGAGTGTCTGAGAAGAAACATGTTAAATACATCCAATGGTAATCGTGGTCTTAAAATCTCATGTTTTTAAGGAGGCCATTTGAAAGCTAAGTGGGTCTTTGCTCATCACATTTGCCGTTACCATGGACTGTGATTCCTATGTCTCCCTCTAGCCTAGCATTACACTGTCATCTGGAAAGGTGCCAGTATCACCGGGAAAGGTGCAAACATCACCTCAGCATTACATACAGACTTAAAGACTGATAATTCTCACATTACCTACCTTTACAAGAAGCACCTCCTGCATGAAGCCCTAGGTAGAGCAAAGGGTCGCAGACTAAAAAGAGTAAGGTCTTGCATGGCGCAAGCTAAAAACACAATTAGACAATGTGCAGACTTGATAAATTTGGGTGAGGAGAGGAGTGGGTCAGTTACTGGTACCATTGGAATTGGAACTCTTCCCTTGCTGCTGAAGATGGGGGATGGAGCACTTATGGAAGTGTCCTAAGTGCTGTGATGTAAATTCGTAATTCAACATTACCTACACATTGATCATCACAGCATTGCATAGTCTGATAACCTAAGCAATACTTGCAAAGTTATAACACTGAGCATTTCGTATAAACTTGTCACGCTCCTGAAATGCCTGCAACAGAAGATATACAACAAAACTATGAGCTGATTTGTGTGTGTGCGCACGCAGTGCGTGCATGCAGCCTCCATCTTGGACTGCAGAAGTTGAAACAGACATGGAAGGCAAAGAGAGCAATGGTTGAACAAAAGTGTGGAACACATCTCAAAGGTTACAGAAGGAGGTAGAGAAGGCAGAGAAAGGCTTAGAAAATAGACGAGTTCCAAGCGCTGTGCAGCGGATGCGTACGCACATACACACACCGATCTAAGTGGGAGCATTTTATGAACAAAATTTGATGGGATAAGTCACTGGCAAGGTTCTGGAAACTACACAGACAAATGCAAAGAAAAGATCGTCCTGTAACAACAGGCACTATGTACAGATATAACGGTAACACCATGACAACAGACAAAGAGCAAGGGAAAGCAATTTTGCTGAGATTCATATCATAAACAGATAATAATGATAGGGAACTTAAAACTTCGATCAGGTTGTTCTTTTGAATACAGTAAATGAAAATTACTCTATTTATATAACTTGGGTGGAGGATCTAATGTGTATTGCAAAATTCTTAAGAACATGAGTGATGAAGACTTGAAGGAGAAGGCTTGTCACTTCAACTAGAGCATCAGAATAGTGTTGGAACCCCATAATTGGGTCCTCAGCTATTTAATTCCACTTCCAAAACCAGGCAAAGATCATTTGAGACTGTGGTTTCAGAATTATTATTCTACAAAATACTTCTGGGAGGGTGCTCAAGAAGTTTTTCGCTTTTTAACTGCAAATGTTATGGACAAGGAAGCGCTTCTGCCGAGAGCTTGGGTAGTATCAGCTTTGGAAGGATATCTGATGGGATGCAGCTACTTTTGCTTTTGATTTTTATAAAGGATTCAAGAAAAGCTGGGAGACGGTAGTGACAGCACTTGATTTTCAGGATGCCTATAGTGTAGACATAAAGGATATTTTGATGTCTGGTCTCATAGAGAAGAGATTCCAATGGTTAAAAAGTTATAGATGAGAGGTTCTGCGTCATTGCACTAGATTTTATCCGATAGGGCTTGGTTTCTTTCTGCAGAACAACTAGCCTCCTGCCCAGAGTGTCTCACAAAGTACGAACTGTGTAGATGCAGTGACGTTGCTTAGGGTTCTCTGTAAAAATTACACCCAGAACAGAGCCCCGCCACCATGAAATAAACCCACGACCTTCAGCATGCGAGACAAACACCCTGACCACTGTCACCGAGACCATTGAGAAGTGCTCAGAAGGGGGTCTGTCCAGTGTCTTTCTGTGAACAACGTTTTTAAAATAGCAGTGTATTTGTGCAGACTTTTCCTGTTGACAATATACTGAGTTTAACAAGATGTTCCCATCAACAGCACCCAGCACAGAACCCCGGGATGTGACCCCAGTCCCAAATGGAGACAACTTGCTTGCTGTGAGCTTGAGCTGGCAACCACCGGCACGGCCCAACGGCCTCATCACCGAATACCTCATCTACTACACCAATGAATTGTTTACTGATGACATGACTTGGCCTGTGGAAGTTGTTGTTGGCGACGAGTAAGTCAGTTCTTCTTCTTCATCTTCTTCTTCTCCTCCACCTGGATGTAAGTTCAAGATACAACTTGATAACATTTGAAATTTATTACATGCTTTTTTAGCGTGCACAACTCACGATTGTTGATTTTTATTATCACCTCCCTCCAGTTTCAGTAATCACCTGTTCTGTGTGTGGTAAATAACATGAAAGACAGTCTTTAACATTTATGTCCTCAGAGGAAAACAGACGTTGTCTTGTAAAATAGTTCAGTTCTTTCTTCTTGGTAAGTCTTGACACACTTATAGGACCCCTACTGAATTATGTGTTTTATGGGTTTATAGTCTACTACTCTGTTACCAAGCTGTCTCTGTGTTGAATCAATGTGAGATAACTGGTACTTACAGTAAAAAAAAATCCAATACATATTTGCTTTTTCTTTAACTCTTTGAGTCCCAAGAAACGCTAGGTTACTGCTTAGAGGCCCAATGAACGCATAATGCGCCAATTTTACCTCTGTCTTGGCTACTCCTTGGGCCTGTGATGCCGAACCCTCCGGGACTCAAAGAGTTAAGAAAATATATGACAGTTAAAACGTGTGGGGACCTTTAAAAATAAGAGTGGTCGCTGATCTCAATTAACCAGAAACCACTCATGTGCAGTTGGATTTGGTGTTCTGAGATACTGGCATCTGCTGTGGAAACTACCTTTGAATCCATTGTGAAATATTTCAAAGAGAATAGTAAAAAATGTATGAACCAGTAATGGCTATTTGTCTATGTTTTTCAATATTTCAGACTGACAACGGTCATTGACAAACTGACTCCTGACACAGTTTACCATTTCAAAGTTCAGGCTCGTAACTCCAAGGGTTTGAGTCCAAAGTCTGCAGCAGCAGTATATAAAACCCCACCAGGTAGTTTGTCCTCTGTCTGTGTTTGTATAGCCTTAGGAGATTTTGTGTGTGATATTCTTGATGTTTTATTTAGCTGAGATGCCAGAGGATGGCCGCCAGTTTAACTCTACCAGACCCCTGACCCGCTTTTATGGGAATTTCCAAATCTGCCGCTAAACCGCTGTCCCTCAAGGTTGGGAATATGCATACTATGAGAAAACAATGCGTCACAAACTAAAAATAACTAGCCACTCGTAATCAGATCTCGTGGATAGTCTTCTCAGATGTCCGCCCATATGTGTTTGGATGAAGTTTGTGTTGATTTACGTGAAAAAATTCTAAAAATTCACAATAAAACGAGAGGCTGATGAACCACGCATTTTGACAGGAAAGTGAAGTCGGTATAGGCTTGTCACAGTCCAACAGGTGATCGATACTTTGGTTGATTCAGACTCTGCGGAGTCATAATTTCATGAAGAATACATTCACAGTTGCAGTGACACAGTCAGTGGGAGCTGAAATGATGAGGAGAATCTTGAAAATTATAAATCTAGAAATAGATTGAAAGTAGGAGAAAGGGGCGTGTCCAACCCAACAGCAACATCTGGCGTTCACTTTGTGAAACAAGGTTGATACTGTTGGGTGGATTAGCACACAAACATGGAATATTGACACTAGATAAATGGTAAACCTATTTTCCACAATGTCTCCAAGTTTTATCTTATTCTAGCCACTTGTTTGCATGTAACTAATATTTTTGTATGTCATGTTGTTTTTTTCACGTTAATGCCCAGGAGCTCAGGTATAGGAGGAAATTAGGTTCATGGCCTGAGGTCTGGTAGGGTTAACCATCTAAGACGATTGTCCAGATCCTTGTGGAGCTGGAGATAGGTAAATGTAAGACTTTCAGCAAAACATAAAATATGTGATTATCATTGTGCACACACAAGTCATGTGAACTATGTGAGATAATGGAAAGGAGCTCAGGTTATGTGCAGACTGAGGGGAGTCTCATTGACCAGGCGTCTGCTAGACCATCTGGACAACTACAGTGTGGGGATACCACATGGGGGTAGAGTAGTGGTGGCCGTTTTTGTAGCAGTGATTTTACAGCTACTAGCCATGAGGACATTTTTATATGTAGATTAACTAATTATTTTAATAGAACTAACTAGTTGGTGGTAAAAGAACTGTTTCACTGTTTGTTATTCCTTGCAACATGAAAGTGTCGGAGACAGTTTGTTTTCGCGGACATCCATTGGTCCAGAGAGTCTGAGAAGTCATGGCCTGGTCGTCCAGATTATTGTGCCTACATCCTTGTGGGAAGGGAACAGAATGATCAGGGAACTGGAGAGAACCTAACAAGCTGCTAAAAGTGGGAATATATGTCAGGGCAGCTCAAATGACATCACTCAGTCGTTATTAATGCCCTTAGAGAGATTGGGCGATTGGAGGATTTTGAGAGGAGCGTGTCCACATTGCTGCTAAGAACGTGAGAACTGGGAGAATTGACCGGCACAGCCAGGTATGAGAAGCCTACCGAATGCACACAAAATAAGGCTGGCATTATTAACAGTCTTGACACTGATGTGTATGTTGGTGGGGGAATCTGAGCACCGGTGGAAGTGTCTGGAGTGCTGTGAAGCTAAGCCACCTCAATAATTCAATGAGCTATAGCTGTGTCCAACTACTGGTCGTAAATTTGCCTAGAAAAACCACAACAGCCGGAAAGTGCTGGGGTTGGTTCTGCAACCTTCTGTAAAGGATACACAACTAATTATTATTACTATAGCGGTGTCCATGTTTGTTGCTCACTAGCTGCCAAGACAGACACCTCTGGTGGAGAGGGTGACGCAGGATTAACAACGAATGCCATGATCATCATTGGAGCCTGTGTGGCAGGCTTCATCTTTTGCACTCTTGTCATCATCACCATCGTCTGCCTCTGCAGGTGTAGAGGCAACAACTATTCCCAGTGAGTGGCAAATTGTTACTGCTAAATCTTTTAGTTAACTAGACGACAGGTCATCTCTCTACACATTGAACATTTAAGTTTATAAGTGTTTACATCCCTATCTCAAAATATCTCTTCTTTAATGTTTACTGTTACTTGATGTGTGAATGAAGTGATATAAGAAAGGAGAGAGACTAGAAGGGCAGAATATTAGACTTGCCTGCGTGCCCAATCTTAACCCTTTAAATATAAAGTTAGTTCGTCCTTTTGTCCTCATGTGGGTTCTAGGGCTCCCGTTTGTAAAAAAAAAAAAACCTGCACACCCTAACTAGCATGTCATATTAAGGACTTACTTTTCTTCTTTTTCTTTTTTGAGGTTACCGTCTGTAAATTTGGAAAGTTCTGGTTGTTCATCCACTTCTCGACCCTAGCCCTCTTCGAGAATTCGTGTTTTGTGTGCTCATCTGTTTGTCAGATCTGGCTTCAAACTACTGGGCATAATTTTCCTAGAAAAACCACACAACAGCCAGGTGCTGTTGGGGTTGGTTCTGCAATGCCCTGTTAAGGATACACAACTAACCATGTACATATATACATATCTATATGTATGTATGTGTATGTGTGTGTGTATCTGTATAAAATATATATATATATATATATATATATACACACACATATGCACTTTGACCTGGGGGGGGCGGGGGGGGAAGGTACACACTCTGGACACGATATTTAAAGGCAAAATAGAGGTGATGAAGACCGGGTTTTCCAGCTTTGTGGTGCTTTTAACTACCCCAAAACACCTAGAACTGGACCTAACCCCAACCAGGTCCCGTGGCTGCATGCAGCCTATCTACCACCCCCTGGAATATTGGACTGTCTTTTTGGGGTGAATAAAAAGGAAAGCACCGAAAGTACGTCTGCAAAATGGATGTGCATGCAATACTCAAGTTCTGAAACAGTACCAAAATCCAGAAGTAGACAAGCAACCAGAACTTTCCGTCTACTTTACAGCTGGTGAACATTTAAATACACTGCATCTCTGAGGTCATTCATTATCTGACCCTGATCAATTTTTTTGTCTGCTTTCTAAACCAACTCTGCCAGTGAGTCTGTCAGCTTGTTTGTTTCTGTGGTGTGGCAATTTAGGTCACAGGGATGAGGAAAGTTATGACCATTTTGCTCTGTAAAAGGGGTTATCTAAAAACCTTACCTCCTGTACCAGCAGGTGTATGCTGGTCTTATGGAACCTCTTGCTGCCACCATCCACTTCTATTGGTCATGATTTGCACCCTTCTCAGTGGTCAGAAATATATAACCTCCCTCACTGGTTAAAAAAAAAATTATAATATTCGAGTGTTTCCATTATTGTCATAATTGTTGGTGAACATTTCTTGATGTTAGTATCAAATTGAACTTTCATTTCAGTCAAATGAAGACACAGACAAAAATCAATAAGACCCTTCCACCAAGCGTCAAGCCACCGGATTTGTGGATACATCAGCCGAACAACCTAGAGCTGCAGAAAATGGAGAGATCCCAACGAAGTGAGAGTTCAGCATCAGTGGCTACAAGTACATTACGTAGAGGATCTAGGGGTTCTGCAGATCAAACAGATGATCAGGCTTCAACCCTTGACAGGAGGCGTAATTCATTTGTTGGTAAGTTGCCTTGCTACTGCACATTTCAGAAACGTAAACAGTTCATGGAGCAGCTGGCTGAACGATTAGAATACTGGGTTTTCGAGCGGAAGACTCAGGTTTGAATTCTTTCTAAGGTTGGGAATTGCATTCTGTCGGTGAAAAATAAAATCCTACCTGGCAAATTCCATCCGCAGATGAGAGTCTAGCCGCGACAGCATCTAACACTTTTATAAAAACCCTGCTGGAGCAAAAAGAAGCATGTTTACAAACCAACAAACAAACTGAATTACTTATCTAGAGAATTAATCAGTTCTATGGCTATAAGCAGATGGATTGTGGATAGCTTGTAAAGATTTATTATGTATTTGCGTTAGTTTCTTCTTGTCTTTGTGCTTATCTGATAATGAAAGCTTTATTATCTTAAACATCTTATATGTCATTTGACATTGTGTTTTGGTAAAACTTGCTATCCTACTTTCCATTGTGTTTCATGTAATTATTTTTGGACTTTAATATTGCAACACTTTCATTTTTTTTTTTCAATGCATTAATTAAATTTTTATCCTGTAACACCTGCATTTTTTATTTTTATTTTGAATAATTATTTATCATATAACACCTACATTTTTTGGGTTTTTAAAAAAATTTAATGAATGATTCATCATATGACACTCTCCATTTTCTTTTATCCATTACCATTTTGTAATAATTTGTGTATGTTCTGTAAACTTTTATCATGTAAGACTTACTTTTTCATATTTACTCAATTTTTATCATAATTGCCTAAGACTTTGTGTTGTTTTATGTTATATATCCCTCCCCCCCTCCTCCCCCTTTCCTTTTTCCCAGTGAACTAGTATTTTCTAAACTGTTATCATCCTATAAAAGATTTTTTAAAAATCAAATGTATTTGCTCAACTTGTGTCATTTTAGCCTTTTCATTTAAAAAAATTTTTTTTAACATTTGCTTGCTGAACTTTTGTCTGTTGACTTTCTATATTTATTTTGTGCTTGCTGAACTTTTATCTTCTTTCTATTTTTACCATATGCCCGCTGAACTTCTAGCTTCTGATTTTTTTATTTTTATTTTGTGTTTGCTGAACTTTTTTCTGCTGACTGTCTATTTTGTGCTTGCTGAACTTTTATATTCTGACTTTATATTTTTATTTTGTGCTTGCTAAACTTAAAAAAAAAAAATTTAAGTTGTGGGTAAACTTTTATCATATCTTTCTGTTTTGTCGTGTGTTTATTGAGTTTTTGTCATTTTGCCACCTACAGGTATAGAAAAGTCATACCATCTTTATAATCTGCCCAAATTTGACATTTTCTTCCATGACTCGAACTTTATCTCTTCCAGGAGATGGTGGCTACCCTTCTAGTGGAGAAGAAAGATACCAGCCTATACAGCCTAGAAACCTAATTAGGCCTAAGCCTGTAGCACTGCCGGATGCACAGGCTTCGTTTAGAGAACGTGAGTTATTTTTGTTTTACATCCCATTTAGGTTGTACTCATAATGTCTTGACTGCCAGGGCAACCCAGCCTTGAGTAGTCCTGGGAAGTAAAGGTGGCCGGTGTGATGTCTACCCCATCGCCGATTGGTCTTTTTAAAAATATAGGTCTAGCCCTATATGCCCAATAAGACTATAAGTGTGGAAAAGGGCCCTATACTTTACTTTTTGTTATAGTTTGTATTGTAGAATAAAAGATTCAAGTGGTACAGTCTCTACATGAGTTCACACATGACGAACAAGAGTTAGTTACAGTGGGTTACAGTAACAGCTGGCACAGGTGGATTAAAATGAGATAAGATTAAAACACAAGAAGTTTAGAAAATATACCTGATAAGAAAAGTATACCTGATAAGAAAAGTATACCTAATGAGAAAATTATACCTGATAAGAAAAGTATACCTGATAAGAAAATTATACCTGATAAGTAAAGTATACCTGATAAGAAAAGTATACCTGATAAGTAAAGTATACCTGATAAGAAAAGTATACCTGATAAGAAAAGTATACCTGATAAGAAAAGTATACCTGATAAGTAAAGTATACCTGATAAGTAAAGTATACCTGATAAGTAAAATATACCTGATCAGAAAAGTATACCTGATAAGAAAAATATACATGATATAGACTAATCAGTAAGTGTCTGGTGCTTTGTTTGATACTGAAAGAGTTAATTCTAAAACAGAATCAAATGACTAAATAAATTACATTAAAAAGAAAAATTGAAACAAAAAATTTGAAAAATAATATATATTATGTCTTTGCTCAGTAATGAATAGTTACTCGGTTGATGTTTGTTAATTACTTGGACTGTTCACTTTCATTATTGTTTAGCACATGTTAACTGAAAAACTATGCCTGGTTTCCCTTTTCAACTGGAAAACAACCTGGTTGTCAGTTTCAGCCACACACACACACACAAAAAAAGACATACCTGGTTGCCAGTTTCAGCTGAAAAAATAAGCCTGGTTGTCAGTTTCAACCAGAAAAACCATGCCTGGTTGCCAGTTTCAAATGAAAGACTATGCCTGGCTGCCAATTTCAGCTGAAAAACTATGCCTGATTGCTAATTGCATAGGAAAACTATGCCTGGTTGTCAGTTTCAACACATATAACTAAGTATAGACATCGGCAGAGTTAAGAGAAAGAGAGAGAGAGAAAGAGAATAGTCAAGAGAGAAAGAATGAGAGGTTAAGAGAAAATGAGAGGTGGAGAGAGGTTGACAGAGAATAATTGAGAAAAAGAATGACAAGTGGAAGAGAAAGTCAGAGAGAGTAAATGAGTGGATGAAACAAACAAAAATATGGTCAAGAGAGAGAGGTATTGAGCTTTGCTGTTGACGTATTTATTACCTGAGACATTTAATGCAACATAATTGATCTATAGTGGAAGACAAAGAGAAATTACACCCAAAAATAAGTTATGGATATCATATAAGAGGATTTATGGTTACGTTAATAAATATTTTGGATAAATTAATAAATATTTTGATAAATAATGATCAGTACTCAGAGAAAGAAGTAGAAAGATAGGACACACTAGATACCATAAAAAAATTTTTTTTAGTTATCTTGTTGGGATGCCAAACATGTCAACTCCAGATGATGAAATCGCCTTGTTGTCTGAACAAGAGCTTCGGGACAGGACCAGCTTGACACTCTTTCAAGTGATCAGTATGTTTATTCACTAGTCTGTCTTATTGAAAACTGTTCAAATATTATCTGAGCACAGATTACATGCTCCATAGAAGTTTAAAAAAAATATTTCAGAAATAATGCAGATTTTTCCTAGATCTGTTACAACCACTGTGGTTTACTGTAGTTAGAAATGTATACATTCCAGTGTTTTTGATGCTATTGATAATGTTTATTCTTGATGTATGAATGAAATGATGTAAGAATGGAGGGAGACCTCGAAGGACAGAATGTTAGATTGGCCTGTGTGCCTAATTCTTAACCATTTAAAAGTAAAGTTTTTTGGTTTATTCGTTCGTTCATTTTTTTCTATTGGCCAAAACAAAATATCAACCAGGCATAGAATTAAAAAAAAAAAAACATCTGCCTTCTGATTAGAGGACATGACATGACACTTGATGCTGATTTTGTCCGCTTTTCTGTTTCCAGCCATCGCCACAGTCACAGCAGCACCCAACGGACACATACTTCAGTATGGGGACAGTCCATCAGGGCCACTGCCCATGCGTCCCATCTACCCTCGCACCCAGTACAACACACAGTACACCAGTGCAGCTAGAGTCAATGCTGGTGACCTGCCTCATACATGTCCTCCTTCCAGTAAGTCACTCATTCAGGGGTTTTCATCTTTTACTTTTGATCTCAGGCATCGTGGGAAGGAATAGCTGGGGATCATCCCTCGATGGGTGGTACTGGCTGTTGTCATTGTTCATTTTTGAGGTCATCTTCATCGCACATCCTACAAGGCCATAAGTATCGGAACTCTTCGCTGGCTGCTGAAGATGGGGACAGAGCGCATATGGGAATGCCCCGAGTGCTGTGATGTCGGTTCTTGAATCAAATCAATCATGGCCATAAATGCTCTGATCTCCTCCTAAGTATGTCTTCAAGTGTTTTTAGGCTCATCATCATCATCAGGTGCCTTGCCGACTGGCGTGGGCGATCATGCTTCTCCATAATCCCCGATCTCTTGCAGCATGTATCAGTTCGTGTGCAGACACACCTCCATGCCATGCAACAAGACTGTCAAGCATTTTCTCTCGTTGTCTTCCTCTATCTCTCCTTCCACAGATCTTTCTAGTGGTCGCAACATGTTCTGTTTTCTATTTTTAGGCTCACAACTGCCTGTCTGTTCTGGTTGATGTAATGACAGATGGCATGGTTTTCCTGTCTTTAGACTCCAGTTGGTACACCCTGGTTATGTAGTCTGTTCAGTTAACATTTTTCCATGAAACTGAAAACCTTACAGCATTTAGTCTCTTGTATGGGATTGATGATGTCTCTCCTGTCCGTAAAGGGATAATTCCTGATAGTCGCACTGTCAGCCAGAGCGTCTGCTCTCTCATTGCCTTTTTCACCAGCATGCCGTGGGACAACAATGAAGGTTATGTTATGAAACACTGCATGTTATATCAGGTGGCTGTTGTCATTCCATGTAAATATTCAGTGTCCTAATACTACCAGTCTTCTTAGGAATCTTTGCTCCGGTATAAAGTTTTCTTACTTGAAATACCTGTTTTGGTAGCTGATGTTGCTGCATTTTAATATCTTCAAGCCATTTTTGATTTTGTCTCCAAGTGTGTTAGGCAGAAGGTGTTGTTACCAAATACCTGTCTCATCTATTGTTCTTACTTATTCTTTCTATAGAAGATATTCAACATTCAATGGGAAACAGAGGAAGACTTTTAATTATGTTGCAGCTGGGACTATTAGCATGTTGTCTGTTAGTTGGCTGCTGAAGGAGTGGACAGAGCACACATGGGAATGTCCCAAGTGCAGTTATGTCACTTCTTGATTCATTTATTAATTCTTTAACCATCTCAGATGGTTAAAAAAGATTGCCTTTCTTAGGTATAACGTCTCACAAATGTTCATTTTATGTATGCCAGCGTTTGATCGTACCCAAGTTTGACACTGGCAGGTTCACAATAACCTTTCGTTTCTTGGTGTATTATTTAGGCACAGGATTTTGTTCCCCAAATCTTTCTCATCATATTGTTTTTCACCCAATTCTTTAACTATCTCATTTTTGTTTGTTTGTTTTTGATTTGTTTGTTTACGAATATGAGTTTTTGATGGAGTCAGAGATTGGCACTGATCGCGTAATGTTCCCCACGTTCAAGATTCCCCCGAGCCCTGCACCACCCTAAAAAGTGGTAAATATAGACAGTAAATAATAGTAGATCATCATCATCCTAAACCGCTTCTGCCATTAAGTGTCGTGGGGTGGAATAATTTGCGATCCAGTGCACGTTGGCTGCTACTGGCGATTGTCGCGCCGTGAAGGCGTAGAGTGTCTTTAATGTTGTCGATCCATTTTCTCCACGGCCGTCTTCTTGCTTTTGTACCTGATCTTCTGAGACAGTACATATTATTTAGAAATAAAGAGTTAGCTGTCTGGCTTGTACCTGGGCATGCAACTAACCTGTTTGTGTTGTTGTTTATTTGTAACTGATCCATTAGTGGAGCATGTTTTCAGGTTAAACCTCTTTCTTGTATGTTTTGTTGTGAGTGACCACATCTGGCACTGGTAGCCTAAGGTGGGAATGAATATGCTTTGTATCAGATGTCTCTTTGTTCTGATTGGGATTGCCTTATGCTGTAAGAGGGGGGCTGGCTGTTCCAATACTTGGCCAGCTTTACTGCATCGGATGTCAATTTCTTCATCAAATTTACCATCTTCAGTGAATTTTGTTCCAAGATATTTAAATCCAGATGCCTGTTTAATATATGTATGCTCTCGGAAAGATGCATTGCAACTTCAAAGGGAACACTTTTTTTGACATGCTTGTTAGGGTTAAAGTGGGTCTGTTTGTTTCCCAAAATGGAGTCTCAGAACCCACATGGGGAGATTCGATACTTCTTTTGGGGTCTTAACAGCAGGACCAGGGTTTGTCTTACTTGAGCAGTGGTTTGGTCAGTATCTGTATGTTCTCAACAACCATTCTTTCGTTGCTGATGTCTGTCTCTTAGTTTATGCATTAACTGGCTAGCATGATGTTTGCTTGTTTTGTTTCTGAGCATGTTTTGAACCCATCAAGTTTTGGGTAATTTTGTTTTCACAACTCTTTACAAAATGTATATTTATGGCATAAACAATATATAGCCTTTGAAATAGCTACATAATACACATTTCTGACATATCTTACAAACCTGGCATTATATAAGCATAATTATGCAAATGTGTCTACAGACAGGCACTGGAAAGGGAAATATAAATATTGAGGAAACAAGGGTTTCCTATTTAAGGCCCTATGGGAACAATCAACAGAAACAGTAGAGAAACAAGATTATTATGGCCTAGAGAGAATGAGGCACCTGGGTGTAACCAGAGGGTCCGGCCGGTTCACTGCACTCAGAGGCAAGGCAAGATGAACATATAATCAGATTTTGACCAGTACCATCAGTATTGGAACTCTGGGCTGCCTGCTGAAGATGAGGACGAAGCATGCATTGGAATGCCTGAGAGCTGTGATGTCAATTCTTGACTCAACTCAACTCAACAGTGTCCTAGAGAAAATCTAAGGCGAGTGTTGATGAGAGAAGCCAAAGTTACCGGACTGGATTCCATCCATGATATTGAAGTGATGGCACTGGATAGAAGACAATGGATAATTAGACTGCCAGCACTATGTACAACAGCTGCACTACAGGATAATAAAGGAATGAATGAAACAGTTTCTTATCAGCTGTCCGTACTGGTGGCAGAGCACTTATGGTGTATAAATGTGTGAAGTGACACTGGTTCACATCTCCCAACTTTAATTTAATTTACCTTTACCTTTTTACACTAATCTGTCTCATATCACACACATGTCTGCTTCAGATCTGTGACATAAGATACATATTTATTTAACACATCTGCGACATAATACAAAAATGGCAAAACACATAAATCTGAGAATCATCATGCAGCTCAGTGACATTACACACATCTAAAACACACTTATAACATAGTATACATACATGTAAAAGGCAAACTTATAACCTAGTGCACATACATATAGTCAAACTTATAACATACTATTCACACATATATGTATCACTGAGTTAACAGAGCAGTGCATGGAACATTAACAGCATGTCTGTGCATTGTGTTCTGTGTGTTGCAGGTAAAGTGCTGCCTGCTGTGGACGAGGACGAGGACAGTAACTGTGACATGGTTACTGGTATGGATGAATCCTATAATTCCAGAATAGGCTATGGTTAGTTATTTTCACTTCCAGAAGAGCCACAGTCATTTCTCTCTCTGTCTCTGTGTGCCTGTGTATATGTGCGTTTCTGTGTGTATATATCTGTGTGTGTCTATGTGTATATGTCTGTGTGTATATGTCTGTGTGTTTTGTCTTTGTGTCTCTGTGTGTATGGTCTCTTGGTGTGTCTACATGGCGTGTGCATGTGTGTGTATGCCGGTGTATGTATGTCTGCATATGCGTCTATGTGTGTGTGTGTCTGTGTGCCCATCAGCGTGTGTGTGTGTCTGTCTGGGATTGTGTGTGTGTGTGTGTCTGTGCGTGTATCTGTGTGTGTGTGTTTGTGCATGTATGTGTCCGTGTGTGTGAGTCTGCATGTGTGTGTCTGCGGGTTTGTGTGTGTCACATGTGTATGTCTGTGTGTTTATGTCTGTGCGCATCTGTCTGTTTGTGTGTGTGTCTGTGTGTGTATCAGTATGTATGTATGTGTGTGGAATGTGTGTGTTTGTGTGGGTAGGTAGGTATGTATGGGGGTGTGTTTATGTGTGTGCTTAAGTGAGTCGGTGGGCGTGTGTGTGTGCATGCATTTTACTACCCATTCCCCCCCCCCCCCCCTTCCTGATATCTATATTAATCAAAATTTAAATTTTCCGATGTCGTTAGCTCTAAACTCGGAAACTACTGAACCGATTGCTTTCAAATTTTCACACAACGTTGCCTCTGATTCAAAGCATAATTTTTTGTCATAAAATCTCACAAACCACGAACGATGTAGCTCCAGCAATTGTCAAATCATTGTTTGTTTCGTTGCCCGCCCGGATTTATTTTTAATCAATTGACCACCTTTTACTGTGCAACACCGACCTTCACATTATTATTATATACTTTCATTTCTACCAAATGCTCGAGTGTTTAGTAGCGTAGTTAGTTGTAAGCATTTCGCTTTTTTTACTCGGGTGATAGGGGTTTGATTCCCCGCTGGGTGATATACTTTTTTGTGTGTGGCCCCTATCTGGGTGGCTGCCACGTTTTGTTGTGGTTTATAGCTAGGCTGCAGTATCTACGCTTTTTTCTGTTTAATTTGGGGGTTTACAGCTAGCCTGGGATAGCGGCGACGTGATGCTCAATGTTAATTTCACGGGTAATATTCGTTCGCATTTGAGAGGGCGGTTGGGCCGTTGTGTTGTGGTTTACAGCTAGGCTGTGATATCGAACTCAAACTCTTCAGTCTTAGGTAGTATATTTGTACGTATTCCGCCCTTCACCTGGTTGACCGGTGTTCAATTACCCACTGGGTGCTAACTTTTCTTTTTCCCTCAAGAGGGCTGCTGGCATGTTGTGTTGTGGTTTACAGCTAGGCTGCAATATCTGCACCTTCCGCCCAGACACTGTTAGCTAAGAGAGCTTAAAACATTTTTTTCAAGTTCTCATTTCTTAACTATTTATATTTTAATACTTTCGCCAGGGATGATTTTTCAATCCTTCGGAGAGTGAGATATGACTGGGTGGAGGGGAGAGGGAAGGGGGTTGAGGGTTATGACAGACACTGTTAGTTGAGAGCTACTTTCTTTTTTTTTCCATTTCACCATTCGGGGCCACAGCAACGCGTGGCAGGGCACAGCTAGTTCATAATGTGCATATTATCATTTAACATGCTTATTGATAAAATACAGCTGCAGTGTTAAAGACAGATGTTTGGAAGGGCCGAATGTAAGACGGGCCTGCGTGCCCAATTTGTAACCCTTTGAAAATAAAGTTTGTTCGTTCATTCTGTGTGTGCATGGGCGAGAAAGAAAGAGAGAGAGAGAGATTAGGCTTGTCTGTGTATGTGTTTGTAGTCTTGCTACATTTGAACCGTTTGTCCCAGTCCATTGTTCCTTGATCATCTGTAAAGTTACTGTAACCTCTGTTCTTAAAAGTTATCACTTTTTCAACTCTTGTTCTGGAAAGTTATTATTTTAGCCTCAGTGCTAGGAAATTGTTACTTTATCTTATTCTGTAATATAATTTTACTCCTATTATAGAAAGTTTTTTGCTTTAATCCCTTTCTAGAAAGTTGTTTCATTATTATATTCTGTAATATTAATTTAACCCCATGTTCTAGGAAGTTCACTTTAACCCCTGGTCTAGAAAGTTGTTATATTATTGTATTACACAAACAGACAGACAAGAGGCAGCCCCTGATGAATTGTTCAGATAACAAAGATAACAAAGACCAGATTGAGCTAATTTGTATGCACTTCTGTTGGATTAACATTTGTACATAAAGAATAATGTGTATGAACACCTAATTCAATTAACAGTTGATGAATTAACTTGTATGCATGTGTGATGAACCTGATGTAATATTTGTGTCTGTAATGGCTCAACATACTACACTGATACAGCATTTTCTAGCTGCTAATAATTGACACTGATTTATTAGTACACAGTTTGTCTCCAATTTCTGTCAGTTATACAGAACCACCTAAATCCAATTTGTAACAAAGGGGAGGAATATAATATGAAAATAAACACTACAAAGACAGAGACAATGATGATAGGAAGACATAAAGACAATTTAGAAATTTTATTAAAAAACAACATACTGAGACAAACAGAGGAATTTAAGTATTTGGGAGCAATTTTTACGTCTGACGGAAAACTAGACAGAGAAATTAGCTCCAGATGTGCCAAAGCTAATCAAGTAATGGGGCAACTATCTCCCCTGTTGACACACAAGCAGATACCTCTAAGTACTAAAGTGAATCTTATCAGAACTATTTTTTGGCCAACACTATGCTATCAATGCCAAATGTGGACACTTACATCCTTCAATGAACGTAAAATTGTGACAACAGAGATGAAATGCCTTAGAAGAGCTGCAGGAGTTTCAAGGAAAGACAATACAAAATCATGAAATCGGATGAATGCTAGGAATAAAACCAGTCTTACAGGTCATCAAAGAACAACAAATGAAGTGGTTTGGACACCTAACAAGAATACCCTGGTACTATCTGCCACAGCGAGCCACACTAAAACGTTACAACGGGTATAGAGCGAGTGGAAGACCTCGGAAAAAATGGAGTGATGGCATTAAGAACAGCCTTACAGAAATTAACATCAGTCTTAATAGTGCTCTTGACAGAGCTCATCAGCGAACATTACATCTAACCCTGACACTTTGATGAGGTAAAAGGTGGAAGAAAAGAAGAAGAAGAAGATACAGCTTGGTCTCCCACTTCTTTCTGTCTTCTGCTTCTGTTGTTTTCTCACTGCTACCAGGTTGTGGCCTAATGTTGTGGGTTTCTTTATTTGTCTTGCGCTTCTCGGGTGGATTCGATAGTGGATTTGTTCATCTTTCTACAGGTTTGGGCTACACCATTTATCCATCTCTTTCTTGCTGTTCCCCTTATCTTCCTCCCAGATGTTCTGTTGTAAAGAAAAAAAATTTCATTTGCAGTTTGGTCAGGCTGCATTCTTAACTAGATGGCTGAACAATTAATTCTTTAGCTGTCAATATAATACGGACATGATTTATTGCAATTTGTAATCCTCTTCCTTCTTGTATTGTTAGTGAACTTATGGAGACATCACATACTGATAGCATAAAGTAGGGATGAAGATGCCATCAAGCATTTTGCTGGAAGGGAGACATATAGGTGTCTGAGCAGAGGGTCTAAGATTTTAATTATCCCAGCTCTGTCACTTGTACGGTTTAATTACACCAGCTCTGTCAGTTGTACAGTTTAATTACCCCAGCTCTGTCAGTTACACATTTTAATTATCCCAGCTCTGTCAGTTATATGGTTTAATTATCCCAGCTCTGTCAGTTATACGGTTTTATTATCCCAGCTCTGTCAGTTATTCGGTTTAATTATCCCAGCTCTGTCAGTTATACTGTTTAATTATCCCAGCTCTGTCAGTTACACAGTTTAATTATCCCAGCTCTGTCAGTTATATGGTTTAATTATCTCGGCTCTGTCAGTTACACAGTTTAATTATCCCAGCTCTGTCAGTTATATGGTTTAATTATCTCAGCTCTGTCAGTTATATGGTTTAATTATCTCAGCTCTGTCAGTTATATGGTTTAATTATCCCAGCTCTGTCAGTTACACAGTTTAATTATCCCAGCTCTGTCAGTTATATGGTTTAATTATCTCAGCTCTGTCAGTTATATGGTTTAATTATCCCAGCTCTGTCAGTTATATGGTTTAATTATCTCAGCTCTGTCAGTTATATGGTTTAATTATCCCAGCTCTGTCAGTTATATGGTTTAATTATCCCAGCTCTGTAAGTTACACAGTTTAATTATCCCAGCTCTGCCAGTTACACAGTTTAATTATCCCAGCTCTGTCAGTTATATGGTTTAATTATCCCAGCTCTGTCAGTTACACATTTTAATTATCCCAGCTCTGTCAGTTACACATTTTAATTATCCCAGCTCTGTCAGTTATATGGTTTAATTATCCCAGCTCTGTCAGTTATATGGTTTAATTATCCCAGCTCTGTAAGTTATACGGTTTAATTACACCAGCTCTGTCAGTTATACGGTTTAATTACACCAGCTCTGTCAGTTATATGGTTTAATTATCGCAGCTCTGTCAGTTACATGGTTTAATTACCCCAGCTCTGCCAGTTACACGGTTTAATTATCCCAGCTCTGCCAGTTACACGGTTTAATTATCCCAGTTCTGTCAGTTACACGGTTTAATTATCTCAGCTCTGTCAATTACACAGTTTAATTATCCTAACTCTATCGGTTACACATTTTAATTCTCCTACCTCTATCAGTTAAACATTTCAGTTCTTCATCTCTGTCGGTTATACAGTTTAATTCTTCCGCCTGTATCAGGTATACAGTTTAATTCTACCTGTATCAGGTGTACAGTTTGATTCTCCCACCTGTATCAGCTGTACAGTTTGATTCTCCCATCTGTATCAGGTGTACAGTTTGATTCTCCCACCTGTATCAGCTGTACAGTTTGATTCTCCCACATGTATCAGGTGTACAGTTTGATTCTCCCACATGTATCAGGTGTACAGTTTGATTCTTTCATCTGTATCAGGTGTACAGTTTGATTCTCCCACCTGTATCAGGTGTACAGTTTGATTCTTTCATCTGTATCAGGTGTACAGTTTGATTCTCCCGTCTGTATCAGGTGTACAGTTGGATTCTCCCACCTCTGTCAGTTATACATTTCAATTCTTTATCTCTGTCATGTATACAGTTCAATTCTCCCACCTCTGTCAGTTATATAGTTTAATCGATATCTGCTAAGAATTTTGATGTTCTGCCTTCCTAATCTTCTCGGTCACATGTCACAATCATCGTAAATTCCACATATTCTTTCTTCCATGTTTATTTTCATAGCATTTGAAAATGACATTTATCACAACCAGTGGTTTTATTAGATACCAAAGAACATTTTCTGCTGTGATTATCAAATTTTATAAGTCTGTGTATGTTTCTATTAGATTTGCTTAGAAAGTTTTAAGTAACAACAGAAACACCCGCCACTCTAAATGTACTTTTTCTTTCCAATTTGTGATTATAGTCTGTGTCATTAATAGCTCTGTATATTTCAGTTTACACAAATCTGTGATTCAAATATTTGTATTTCAGTGAAACCGCAGCAGAGCATTAGTCCATACAAGAAACCTACTGCTCCAGTCATGACGGCAACAAGCAAAGGGCAGAGAACTCCCATTTCATTCAATTCAAAATCTCCTGAACTGAAGAGTAAGAAAGATGAAGCAGATTTATCGGTGAGTGTTTACAATAATTCTTAATTTGTTTAATTTGATGGATGATTCACTGGTTAAAAGTGTTTAAAGGTAAACATTATCAACTTAATTGAACAAGGTTTTATCCCGTATGGCTCGCCCTTTCTCTGCATAACAGCTTGTTTCCCACCAGGAGCGTCACCAGAGCACAAACTGCATAGCTCCTGCAACCACCCCCAGTAATCTCCAAAACACCTTCTCTCATGAACCAAACAACTAAACCCATAACTTTCAGAGTGTGGGGCGGACCATCTAATCACTTCTCAGACTGTAATGATCTTTTTGTGTCTCCACACTAGTCACTCACTCCCAAAGGCCCCTTACAACATCGAGCTTGTCATACATCAGTTCACCACCAAGTGGTGCAGAACTGGCTAATCTTTCTGCCTGCTCATTTCACAATATGTTGGAATATCCTGGAGAAAATATCCAAAGGACACTAACTACACAGAACCTCGGAAGCCGTGCTTGCCACTCTGCGCAGAGCATGCCTGTCTCCACCTTTCTCAACAGGCTCTGTTAGTAACAAGAATAGAGAAAGTAACCTAATGCAGGAAAATCTTTTCCAAAGCCTTTCTGTTTATAAAAACAAAACAAACAAAAAACTAAAACAAACAGCCTACAATTTTTATTGTCCTATATGGCTGTCTTAAAAGATCTGAACATCAGGGAAGATTGGCTAATAAACAGCATCCTTTCTCGGAAGCTGAAATATTTTGGTCATATCAAGCGCCACAATGGGTTGGAAAAAACTATAGCAGAAGGCATGGTACATGGAAGGAGGGGCAGGGGCCGACCCACACGAAGATGGGCACATGATATAAGTGACTCCTTGAGTATGAAAGTACATGCGGCAGGAGAACTGGCGAGAGACAGTTTCTTTCAGGCAGACTGTGATGAGAGAGGCGTTCTGCAAAGGACCTGCTACATGATGATGATGATATGGCTCTGAAACCTGGATGGTTATTACAACATTCTGAGAACAAATTGTTAGACAAATCTTTGGACCCATCGAAGCTGCAAACAGTGCCCAAAAATTGGAGAGTGAGAAGTAACAATGGAATTCATAAAAACTGGCATATAAAGAGTATGGTAGATAACACAAAAACTGCATACAAAGGTGTAGACCATGAGGCAGACCAAGAAGAGGGTGGAGAGATAATATAAAGGCAGACCAAAAAATGTGGTGTCATTAACTGGAAGGAGGTCAGTCACAGAGATGAATGAGAGTGGGTGATATTTGCAGCGGTGAATCTTTAAGGTTTGGATATCTGAATAAAAATAATAAATGTAAAACGTATTTACAGTATGAAAGGTGAATTTTTGGAAACAATTAATATAAAACTAGCCTGCATGGCCAGTTCATGACCCTTTGAAAGAAAAGTCAGTTTGTTCTTTCAGTCAGTATTGTGTGCTCTATATAAAATCTGTTTATTTGTCCTCGCAGAAATCTTTGAGTACTGAAGAATTGACAGCTGAGATGGCCAATCTGGAGGGGCTGATGAAAGATTTGAATGCTATAACACAGCAGGAGTTTGAGTGCTAGCAGTTGGCAGGAGAGGAGCAAGCTAAATTTAACAGTGGAAGTTATAGTAGACCAACCAATCGCTTGCTGAATAGAACAAGGGAAGAGAACTCTGTTCAGTGCCTAAATGTTCTTGTCTTGAGAATAAGCAAGTGAAACAGTAGACAAGCAAGAGAGTTGGTAGAGAGTGAATGGCTGAATGAACAGCTGTGACTGACTGTTGAAGTATGCATTGTGGCACTGTACTTACGTGGTGAATGTATATAAAAAAACTTTGTTTCATGTTGGTGTCTTTGACCCATTACAGATAATATAGAACCACATTTGTTTGCCGTGTGGCTGACATACTTTGTAAAATGTTCACCTAGCTCAAGTTAAAACACAAGCTATCATTCTGCTGCCTGTTACCCTGAAGGTCTGATCATGTCAGTTACATCAACTTCACAGCCTGTCTGTTGCTGTAACATCTCACCCTATTCTGTAACATGCCAGACACACTCTTGTATTTTGTCTAGATAATGTGTCCTCTCAACCAGTGCCCTTACAATCATATCCTCTCAACCAGTGCTCTCACATTACCTTTACACATCAAAGTATCTTCTTTACCAGTGCCCTAATATTTAAAAATCTCAGCTAGTGGGCTGCACAGTTTCATCCTGCTGTACTGTTTCCTGACATCCATGTATCCAGCTCTCTGATATCACATTCGCTGAGTCATTGCTCTAACATCCTCACATCTCCCTAACATCACATCCTCACATCTCCCTAACATCACATTGTCACATCTCCCTAACATCACATCGTCACATCTCCCTAACATCACATCCTCACATCTCCCTAACATCACATCTCCCTAACATCACATCCTCACATCTCCCTAACATCACATCTCCCTAACACCACATCCTCATATCTCCCTAACATGACATCCTCACATCTCCCTAACATGACATCCTCACATCTCCCTAACATCACATTGTCACATCTCCCTAACATCACATTGTCACATCTCCCTAACATCACATCCTCACATCTCCCTAACATCACATCCTCACATCCAGCCACCAAATGACCACTGCCTGCCAGACATTACTATCAAGGAAGTATTTAGAATGTAACTTCTCCAGTTTCTTGAAGACCTATTGACAGCTTGCAGTTTATCCTACGTATATTTCCTGTACTCATTTGTTTCACTGTAACCATTTTCTTATTTTATATTGTTGACCAGTCTCATTCTCCCTCACCGCATCGGACTTGGTCAGTTTCTGGATTCCTGATCCAGCTGTACAAGTATGAACAATTCTTGTGAATACTTGAACAAACCTGAGTGTTAATGATACCACAAAGTGAGGCAGTCCATACACTGCTGAGGAGGAAGGAAAAGCTGTATTAACTTTGCTAAAATCACATTATTTATAATTTTCATGTTCAAATACTCGAATGAGAGAGAGAGAGAGAGAGAGAGAGTGTGTGTGTGTGTGTGCATGCGTGCGCGAGAGAATAGAGCTGGTTTTATTCAAAAGAATGATGCATTTGAAAAATATGACATGGTTTGTCAGGAATTCATTTTGATAATGTCAGTGTATGACCGGTTTTTCTCTCTCTTAAGGTGGCTAATTTGGAGCATATATGTTCATCATGTTGTGGTCTTGCCTGTCATTTTATATTTTAATGGGGTTGATGCTCTTTATGTTTTTATTTGTTACCCAGCTATTTAAGAAAATAAACAAGAAATGTGTGGGCCAAAGCAGAATTGATTATTTGAGAAGCCGAGGAACATAAAGAAAGATTCACTGGAAAAGCTTGAGCTTTTGTTGTGAAGCTTTTTGTGCTACTCATCGATGAAGACTTCCACCAAAATGTCTGCTTGTTTTTATGTGCATTTTCTGTTTAACCCCCTCCCCAGTTGAACACTGAGGTCAGTATTCACAATTTTAGGCACCACACTGTAATATAATCAGTGTCAATTTCATTGAAATATCAGATGATTACAATGTATTGATTATGATATTGGCTCCAGACGAGAAAGATTTTTTTGAACAAAAATGTAATAATAAAATATTAGTGATCTTTAGAGACAAGTAAAGGTAACTGTATAGGATGTATGTCAAGTGTGTGTGTGTGTGTGTGAATATGTGAGAGCGAAGGGCTGGGCTTTGGTGAAAACAGATGTATTAAGAGAGAATGGCATGTTGTAAATATAAAATGGTATGCAGAAAAGATAAGATGAAATGACTGAAATAAAATAAAATATTAAACAAGCAGTAGCAGAGCTACACCTGTATTTGAGAGGTTCACATCACTGCATTTCTATGTTTGTTTTTCATTAGTGTTTTGTGTAATGTACTAACAACCTATTGGGGAAAATATATGTGTTAGTTTTGTTATAGGCATGTTGGTGTGGTTGTTTATAGGCCACAGTTTTGTTATAGGCATAGTGGTGTGGTTGTTCAAGGGCCACGTGGAAGGTATCTTTATAACTGTTATGCAGTTGCCTATGTTTTTGTTTTGATAATGATGACATTTTCTACATAATTTATTTATTCCTTGTTTCCCCCTCTCTTGTTTCTTGTTTAAAAGACATATCTTGATCAGTGAGAATACCAGTTTATTGTATTTTCATAGCAGCTGGCTCTGGGGCTTGGGAAACAAAGATGCAGTAGGCATATTTTATGTGTCAGTTTACAAGGCATTATCAGACAATATGTGGGCTCATCGTATGCTGTTAAAAAGTTCAGTTCAGTTACTTGAGTCTACTTTTATGTTCTTGAGCTGTCAGATGGACAAAACAGATACAGTTCTGAAGAAAGCAAAAAGAGACCAAGACTGTAAGATCGGCCTGGCATCCCATACTCAGAAACAAAACAACCTGTGTTTATCACTGTCCAGGCTGGTCATCCCATACTCAGAAACAAAACAACCTGTGTTTATCACTGTCCAGGCTGGTCATCCCATACTCAGAAACAAAACAACCTGTGTTTATCACTGTCCAGGCTGGTCATCCCATACTCTGAAACAAAACAGCCTGTGTTTATCACTGTCCAGGCTGGTCATCCCATACTCTGAAACAAAACAACCTGTGTTTATCACTGTCCAGGCTGGTCATCCCATACTCAGAAACAAAACAACCTGTGTTTATCACTGTCCAGGCTGGTCATCCCATACTCTGAAACAAAACAGCCTGTGTTTATCACTGTCCAGGCTGGTCATCCCATACTCAGAAACAACACAGCCTGTGTTTATCACTGTCCAGGCTGGTCATCCCATACTCAGAAACAAAACAGCCTGTGTTTATCACTGTCCAGGCTGGTCATCCCATACTCAGAAACAAAACAGCCTGTGTTTATCACTGTAGAGGCTGGTCATCCCATACTTAGAAACAAAACAACCTGTGTTTATCACTGTCCAGGCTGGTCATCCCATACTCAGAAACAAAACAACCTGTGTTTATCACTGTCCAGGCTGGTCATCCCATACTCTGAAACAAAACAACCTGTGTTTATCACTGTCCAGGCTGGTCATCCCATACTCTGAAACAAAACAACCTGTGTTTATCACTGTCCAGGCTGGTCATCCCATACTCTGAAACAAAACAACCTGTGTTTATCACTGTCCAGGCTGGTCATCCCATACTCTGAAACAAAACAACCTGTGTTTATCACTGTCCAGGCTGGTCATCCCATACTCAGAAACAAAACAGCCTGTGTTTATCACTGTCCAGGCTAGTCATCCCATAATCAGAAACAACACAACCTGTGTTTATCACTGTCCAGGCTGGTCATCCCATATTCAGAAACAACACAGCCTGTGTTTATCACTGTCCAGGCTGGTCATCCCATACTCAGAAACAACACAGCCTGTGTTTATCACTGTCCATGCTGGTCATCCCATACTCAGAAACAAAACAGCCTGTGTTTATCACTGTAGAGGCTGGTCATCCCATACTCAGAAACATAATCTGTGTTTATCACTGTCCAGGCTGGTCATCCCATACTTAGAAACAAAACAACCTGTGTTTATCACTGTCCAGGCTGGTCATCCCATACTCAGAAACAACACAACCTGTATTTATCACTGTCGAGGCTGGTCATCCCATACTCAGAAACAGAACAGCCTGTGTTTATCACTGTCCATGCTAGTCATCCCATAATCAGAAACAACACAACCTGTGCTTATCATTGTCCAGGCTGGTCATCCCATACTCAGAAACAAAACAGCCTGTGTTTATCATTGTCCAGGCTGGTGTGCAACCTGTAGCTGCTGGAGATGGGCATTTCACTAAAGACTTAAGACATTTGATTAATCAACACGGAACATGTGAGATCAGCCGTTTTCCACTTGTGGAGCTTTAGACGGGGGGATCACAGCACCTATGCATCCGGCTGGAGTGCTATGATTATAACTCCCACTAATCGCTCAGAAATAAACAGGACAAACCCTGGCAGAAACACTGACAAAATGTAGACTAAAATGAAGTAGTCAGGCTGAGTTGAGCGGGCGTTGATGCTTGTGTGACGACAAATCACGTGATGTAAAAAAAAGCAAGGCACGTGAGATTGCCTTGATACAGTAGCATTGATCAAGTTGTCATACTGCTGACCTCTGCCCAAATGTTTGTATTTTGTTTTCAAAAACAGAAAAGCTGATGTAAACTTGGTTTGTTGTTGTTGTTGATGTAATGTTTTTGATTGTTAGAAATTAAATGTAAGAAAAGTCAACATGCTTGTCTGATCATTATGTATAAAATAATTTAAAATAAACAGATGACATGGTCTTCCAACAATGTCTATTTGGAATTTTTTGTTTTGAGTTTTATTTAAATTTCCTGTCTCTAATATCACTCCTGTTGGAGATAAGAAACTTGCCTAGAACTGTGCCTGTGTTTTGCACCAATTCACGTCTTCCTGTAGATCACCTGTACCAGCTGAGGCACTTGTGGCCTTGCAAACTGTACACACTGGGCCCATCAGCCTATAGTTTGTTCCCAATAACTACCAGATTTAGGCCTTGCAAACTGTACA